CCCCGCACGATGGGAAGATTCCCTCGCCATGTTGGAGTTCGCCTTCAACAACGCACCGTCAAGCACGACTAATCACTCCCCGTTTTTCCTAAATTACGGGATGGATCCGACGGTCCCCACGGCGACTTCGCTCGACAACCGAATCCCGAGGTCACAAACTTTTGTGACGGAACTTCAGAACATCCGCGAAAAAGCCGCAGACGCAATTCGCAAGGCAAACATCACTTCCCGCAAGTACACCGACCTTCTACGCCGGGAACTCGTCTTGACTACTGGGCAATTAGTGCTCCTCGACACGAAGAACCTGCACCTGCCCGGTCCATCGAAGCTACGGCCCCGATTTTGCGGACCGTTCAAGATCATCAAGATGGTGACACCTGTCGCCGCCAAGCTGTTGCTACCGGACGACTGGCGAATTCATGACGCCTTCCACGTCAGCCTGCTTCGCAAGTTCGTGCCAGCCACGACCGACATCGCACGTCAGCAAGCGGCCCCGACAGAACGACATGTCCCGGAGCCGACCCTCGAACCTTCGAAGATTCTGGCACATCGAGTTCGACTTGACGCAGCTGGCCGACACGTGGATTTCTTAATCCGCTGGACTGATCGCACCAGTGAGGACGACACGTGGGTGCCATCCGCCTCGCTCGACGCCTCGCCACTTGTTGGTGATTATTTGGCGCGCCGGCGTGTTTCGGATATTGACCGCCTTTCTTAAGGGGGGGGGTGGTGTAAGGAATTTTCTCGAATTCCTTATCGGGGTTGACTGCTGCGCGTACAACCCGATTTTCGGAGTTCGCACGTTCGGGCGATTTCCACGCTGCCGAGGCTCCTCGCGTCGCCTTCGGCATTCCCATCGCCAAACCTGCACCCAACCTCGCTCGCCCGAGGTTTCCTCCTAGCTAGGCTAGCCCTACATTAGTCTGTGCATTCATTGTATTCTCAGTTCATTCAGTCACAGCCTCGTTATTCGTTTACCTGCGCACTCTCTTTTACAACTCATAACAGAAAGAGTTTCGTGGAATAACGAATAAAGCTGGTAAGTATAGTTCAAAAGCACCACGCTTCATATCTGTTTAATGGGTTATTGGGTTGATGCAGCGAAACTGGCGAACTTAGGGATTGGCGACCCAGTTACAGAAGAATCACATCACATCTCGCCCTGTGTTATCGTTTCGCGAAACCAGCCGAGGCACCCAGCCAGACGATGAGTTGAGTATATTTCTTGGAGCCTGTACATTTTGCCGGCGTGTGATGTTTTTCTTTCCCTTGAGGCTTGAAACTGATCGTGGGGGGGGACGAGGGCATCTTCCGCCGAAAATAGCTCAGCGGACAAGCGAGTCCGCCCGGGGGAGCTCGCTGCCCGCGGGCAAAAAAAATAAACCCCAGACGGGCATGCATCCGGTCAGGGAGCCTCAACCCTAAACGCGGGGAGGCATGGTGTTTAGGGTTGAGGCTCCCTCGGATGGCATGCCATCCGATGGGGGTTTAGTTTTTTTGCTGCCCGGGGCAGCAGGTCGACAGGTCGACACAGGTCGACAGGCTTGTCGACCTGATTCCGCTGAGCTCTTCAGTTACATCAGGATGATTGGCCTGCATGACGAAGCCGGCAAAGGCGCAGTGCCCCACCCAACACGTCCTTGGGGCCCAATCGTTGGCGAGAAAATATTATGAGAGCTAGCTCTCACCCTTTAGATGGGCATCGTGGGGCCTGCACGATAGGTCGGGAGAAGGGAAACGGAGGGAAAGCTAGTAGCGTGACTACCGCAGTCATTCCGCCCGTCGACGCGGTATCATCGCGCGAGCATGGGGCCAGCAGCAGCAGTAATATCCTCCCTGGAATCTTCATCATCATCATCCTTATCCGGGTCCTCGTCAATTTGCCTTTGCCGCACAATAGTACAACCTCAGAATTCAAAGGTGTTTTTAGAGTCGACTCAAACTCCCCATCACCTCTGCCTCGCGCGGCTCATGAGCCTTACCGTGCTGCTTCTCGTCCTCCTGCTCTTCCCCGTCCCAGCCCGCGCTCGCTTGCCCCTCGAACCTCTCAACCACACGCCGCGTGACGGCAGCCTATCACACTCCGCCACGTCAGAAACCTCCCCTCTGCGGTTACTCCCACCTCCGCCCGTTGCCGCCGCGCTGCGGCTGGCCGCCGTGGACAAAAATCGCCGCAGTGTGCCGAGTCGCGTGCGCGGAGGAAATTCATTTACGACGTTTTTGCAGCAGTCAAAGGCGCCGCGCGGCGCGAGACAACTGCTAGGAAATGGCGAGCGGGCGGGTAGAGGAAGGCCGCAACTGGGGGAGGGCGATCATGATACGCTGGTTAATGCAGCGCTGAAGGGGAGGCGGCGACTGGGGGAGGGCGGTGGTGACATGCACGCGAGGCTGGCACCGCTGTGGGACATGGCGAGCCGCGTGGCGATCAACGGGACTGTCGTCATCGTCTCCGCCAACGCAGGCGAGTCGCCAATGCAGGCGAGTCGCCAATGCAGGCGAGTGACATGGTGTCAGCGGGAGCTTCTTAAGAAATAGCTTTTTCTGGTGACAGTCAACGGTGCTGCGCGACAGTCAACGGTGCTGCGTGACAGTCAACGGTGCCGCGCGACAGTCAACGGTGCTGCGCGACAGTCAACGGTGCCGCGTGACAGTCAACGGTGCCGCATGACAGTCAACGGTGCCGCATGACAGTCAACGGTGCGTGACAGTCAACGGTGCAGAGTGACAGTCAACGGTGCTGCGTTACAGTCAACGGTGCTGCGTGACAGTCAACGGTGCCGCGCGACATTCAACGGTGCTGCGCGACAGTCAACGGTGCCGCGTGACAGTCAACGGTGCCGCATGACAGTCAACGGTGCCGCATGACAGTCAACGGTGCGTGACAGTCAACGGTGCAGAGTGACAGTCAACGGTGCCGCGCGACAGTCAACGGTGCCGCGCGACAGTCAACGGTGCCGCGCTACAGTCACGGTGCTGCGTGACAGTCAACGGTGCTGCTTGACAGTCAACGGTGCTGCGCGACAGTCAACGGTGCAGAGTGACAGTCAACGGTGCGTGACAGTCAACGGTACTGCGTGACAGTCAACGGTGCTGCGTGACAGTCAACGGTGCTGCGTGACAGGCAACGGTGCTGCGTTACAGTCAACGGTGCTGCGTGACAGTCAACGGTGCTGCGTGACAGTCAACGGTGCTGCGTGACAGTCAACGGTGCTGCGTGACAGTCAACGGTGCTGCGTGACAGTCAACGGTGCTGCGTGACAGTCAACAGTGCTGCGTGACAGTCAACGGTGCTGCGTGACAGTCAACGGTGCTGCGTGACAGTCAACGGTGCTGCGTGACAGTCAACGGTGCTGCGTGACAGTCAACGGTGCTGCGTTACAGTCAACGGTGCTGCGTGACAGTCAACGGTGCTGCGTGACAGTCAACGGTGCAGAGTGACAGTCAACGGTGCTGCGAAACAGTCAACGGTGCTGCGTGACAGTCAACGGTGCTACGTGACAGTCAACGGTGCTGCGTGACAGTCAACGGTGTTGCGTGACAGTCAACGGTGCTGCGTGACAGTCAACGGTGCTGCGTGACAGTCAACGGTGCAGAGTGACAGTCAACGGTGCTGCGTGACAGTCAACGGTGCTGCGTGACAGTCAACGGTGCCGCGCGACAGTCAACGGTGCTGCGCGACAGTCAACGGTGCCGCGTGACAGTCAACGGTGCCGCATGACAGTCAACGGTGCCGCATGACAGTCAAGGGTGCGTGACAGTCAACGGTGCAGAGTGACAGTCAACGGTGCCGCGCGACAGTCAACGGTGCCGTGCGACAGTCAACGGTGCCGCGCGACAGTCACGGTGCTGCGTGACAGTCAACGGTGCTGCTTGACAGTCAACGGTGCTGCGCGACAGTCAACGGTGCAGAGTGACAGTCAACGGTGCGTGACAGTCAACGGTACTGCGTGACAGTCAACGGTGCTGCGTGACAGTCAACGGTGCTGCGTGACAGTCAACGGTGCTGCGTTACAGTCAACGGTGCTGCGTGACAGTCAACGGTGCTGCATTACAGTCAACGGTGCTGCGTGACAGTCAACGGTGCTGCGTGACAGTCAACGGTGCTGCGTGACAGTCAACGGTGCAGAGTGACAGTCAACGGTGCTGCGAAACAGTCAACGGTGCTGCGTGACAGTCAACGGTGCTGCGTGACAGTCAACGGTGCTGCGTGACAGTCAACGGTGTTGCGTGACAGTCAACGGTGCTGCGTGACAGTCACCGGTGCTGCGTGACAGTCAACGGTGCTGCGTGACAGTCAACGGTGTTGCGTGACAGTCAACGGTGTTGCGTGACAGTCAACGGTGTTGCGTGACAGTCAACGGTGTTGCGTGACAGTCAACGGTGTTGCGTGACAGTCAACGGTGTTGCGTGACAGTCAATGGTGTTGCGTGACAGTCAACGGTGTTGCGTGACAGTCAACGGTGTTGCCTGACAGTGAACGGTGCTGCGTGACAGTCAACGGAAGTGTTGTCATTGTGTCCGCCAAAGCAGGGATTCATATGGCATCATATAGTATCGCATCGTATCGTAACGCATCGTATCATATCATCGTATCGCATCGTATCATATCAAAACTTATCGTATCAAATCCCTCCCTCCCCTCCGCCCCGCCACACCCCTCCCCCTACCCTCCCCCCCTCCTCCTCCTCCCTCCCCCCCCCTCCCCCCCCCCCCCCCCCCTCCCCCCCCCCTCCCTCCTCCCCCTCAGCTCTCCCCCCCCCCCCCCCCCCCCCCCCCCCCCCCCCCCCCCCCTCCTCCACCCCCTCCCCCCTACCCCTCCCCTCCCCCCTCCCCCTGCCCCGGTTCTCCCCGGCTGGCCACAAGGAGAAGCAGGAGAACTGGGCGCTGCATGCGGGCCAGGTGGGGCTGTGCTTTCTTCCCAGACACAAGCTGACCTGCCTCTAAACTCCCATTTCCACTCCGCCCTTTCACCTCTCCCCGCACAGCCAGGCCACAAGGAGATGCTGGAGAACTGGGCGCTGCATGCGGACAAGGTGGGGCTGTGATCTCTTCATCCCTCTCTCCCCCACCTTCTCTTTGAAGGCTCATCCGCCTCTCAACTCCCCCCCACCCGCACACACAACAGGCCACAAGGAGATGCTGGAGAACTGGGCGCTGCATGCGGACAAGGTGGGGCTGCGAGGGCACTACATCATATTCGCTGCGGAGCAGCAGTGCTTCGACTTTGCCAACCAGAAGTGGCCCGGGCAGGTGGGTAGACAAGGAGTGGCCGGGGCAGGTGGGTAGACAAGGAGTGGCCCGGGCAGGTGGGTAGACAAGGAGTGGCCGGGGCAGGTGGGTAGACAAGAAGTGCCCAGGGCAGGTGGGTGGGTAGACAAGGAGTGGCCGGGGCAGGTGGGTGGGTTGACAAGGAGTGGCCGCTTCCGCCTCCCACTGCTCTCCTCCCATGTCTAGCTTGCTCTGCTTCAAAACCAACGCCCATACTTCGCCCCCTTCTCCTCCTACTCTCCCTTCTTCTGCTGCTGCTACTGCCGCCGCCGCCGTCACCGCCGCCGATACTGCTATTCCTGCTGCCTTCCCTCTTTTTTCCAGGCACTTCTCCTGGACTTGGGGAACCAGTTCGTACAGGAAGACCAACTTAACCTCCCCACCCCTTTGCTGCCCCCTCCTCCTCCCCTCCCCCCTTTTCCCCAGGCACTTCTCTTGAACTTGGAGGACGACTTTGTGCAGCAGGATGGGAATGTGGACCTGTCGCAAGAAATCGGATACCATTCCGCGGGCTTCCTCCGATTGACCTCCCGCAGGGCCGTCTACATCCTGCACCTCCTCGCCTTTGGCTTCTCTGTCCTCTACTCCGATATCGACCTCGCCCTCCTGCAAAACCCCCTCCCATACTTCGCTCCCCTCTCCTCCCCTCCCTCCTCCTCCGCCTCCTCCTCTGGCACCCCTTCACCGGACTCCGGCTCGCCGAAAGAATTCGACATGTTTATCACAGCAGATCAAGCCTGGACGGACGGTCCAGATCACACGGTCAGGCTGGGCGAGCCGGGGCTGCCCGAGGTCATGTGCTTCTGCTTCCTCTTCTTCCGCCCCACACTGGGAGCCAAGACTCTTGTAGCTATCTGGGCATACAACATGGTGAAGAAAGGGAGTGGGGTGGCAAACGAGAATGACCAGCACCATCTGGGCCATGTCATTGCGATGATGAGAGAGCGAGGGATTGAGGCGAATATCGGCGTGCTGCCCGGAAAAAAGTTCCCGTCGGGCGAGTTGATGAAAGAAAATATGGCGAGGTTTTTGTAAATGAAGCCGGGGGTGGTGATGGTGCATGCGAACTGTCTGGTGGGGAAGCGGAGTAAGATTGATCGGCTGATAGAGGCTGGCGTGTGGCTGCTGCCGCTGCCACCAAAAGAGGGAGAGGAGGAGGGGCAGGGAGGCGAGGAAGGGGAGGAGGAGATGGAGAGGCGGCTGATGGGAGTGGCGGAGTGGGTGCCGTCACATGTGGATGCAGTGTTGAAAGTGGCACCTGGTGTGGCCAAGGATGGGCCACTCATTCTGACTGTGCTCTGTCATGGTATGTAAATACTAGGTGGGCGGTTGGTTGATTGGGTGGGTGGGTCAAGCTCTAGGGCACTTCAAAACGAGTGGGTGGGTGGGTGGGCGAGTTTCTTACGCGCCTCAGAACGAGTGTGTGTCATCACATCACATGTGAATGCGGTGTCAAGGGTGCACCTGGTGTGGCCAGGGATGGGCCGTTCATCCTCACCGTGCTCTGCCATGTGATGATAGTGGGTGGGTGGTGGGTAAATGGGTGATGGTTGGGTGTGTTAAAGATTAAAGACAGCGTCTAGGAAGATTAGTGGACGGAGTTTAAGTTTCTGGACAGGAAACTCATCTTCACAAGAATCGTCGTCGACGGAAGGCGCAGGGTTTAAGATTTGGGGAAACCGAATATGGGCTTCTGTAGCCCAAAAGCTGAAACTTGATCACAATTGTTTAACCAAGAACCACACAAGGAAATTAGAGTAGCTAAAACCAGATAAGAGAGGATGAGGAGGATGAGAATGAAGTTTCTCAAGACCGTTCTTAACGAAGCAAACCTCAAAACTTACAAAAAACTTTAACTCTTGTCATTTTCTCGACCCATGCTTTCCATCTCAAGCAAGTTGGTCACACTTGCCAACCTAGTTTTGGTTTCTCCCAACCAATTGGCAGCAACTATAGTAGAGTTGACGAATTTTTCCTACCCCTGATGGTCTATACCCAATATAAAGTCACCCCACAAACTCTCGAAGTCGTCGCAATCAAATATGAAATGCATTCAAATTTCAACCGTTCGTAAATTTCACGTTTGTGCTCTGATTGAGGCGATTCTTTGGTTCGTTAGAAAGCTCTTGACAAGAAGGATCATTTCAAATATCTGTTCAAACAGAATAAATTTCACATGCACTCACAACAACCAAACCCATCCCCAATACAAAGTCTTTCACACACACATATCACCCATGCAGACAGACGTGAATGCATATGATGACATCACACAAAGGGGGGGTTGGTTGAAAATCCATCATGTGTAGCGCAAATGAGTTCTTAAGCTACTGTGGGTTGTGCACATGGTATCACCTATACATTTGGCATGCAAGCTGTGGTGGTTACATGGCTGTTCCAATCTCTAAGCCTCATAGCATCGCTCTAACTGGGTCGCTTTTTGCCTTTTTTTCTCCGTTTTCCTTCCCATTCCTACCATGTCATGTGCTGTGATTGCACCCTGTGGTATGGCATGGCATGGCATGGTATGGCATGGCATGGTATGGCATGGGATGGCACTGCGCGGCATGGCATGGCATGGCGTGGCATGGCATGGCATGGCATGGCATGGCGTGGCGTGGCGTGGCGTGGCGTGGCGTGGCGTGGCGTGGCGTGGCGTGGCGTGGCGTGGCGTGGCGTGGCGTGGCGTGGCGTGGCGTGGCGTGGCGTGGCGTGGCGTGGCGTGGCGTGGCGTGGCGTGGCATGGCATGGCATGGCATGGGCACAGCAAGCGAGTCGGACCTGTTCAGGAGTTGGCTGGGCTCCATTTCAAAGCTCGGCCTCTCAACCAACTTCCTTGCCTCTGTTGCCACTCAGGTGTGATTCTGTTGCCAATCAGGTGAGCTTCTGTGGCCAGTCAGGTGTAATTCTTTTGCCAGATAGGTGAGCTTCTGCTGGAATTGAGGTGAGCTTCTGTTGCCAGTCAGGTTTGATTCTGTTGCCAGTCAGGTGAGCTTCTGCTGGAATTGAGGTGAGCTTCTATTGCCAGTTAGGTTTGATTCTGTTGCCAGTCAGGTGAGCTTCTGTTGCCAGTCAGGTGAGTTTCTGTTGCCATTCAGGTGAGCTTCTGTTGCCATTCAGGTGAGCTTCTGTTGCCAATCAGGTGAGCTTCTGTTGCCATTCAGGTGAGCTTCTGTTGCGCATAAGGTTTGTCCATCACATAAGGTGGTGCATGTCATACCATGCCGTGCCATGCCATACCACCTGCATGGCACCACCTGCATGGCACCACCTGCATGGCACCACGTCGATGTTATTTGCGCATGTACCATTCTGCATGCATACCCTAATCCCTGTTCAAACCCTAGAAGATATCCCAGCATAACTGCTCGTCCTTCCACCCTTCTGCACAAGGGGACGTCCAGGCCTGCATGAAGCGCATGGGGGCGCGCCCTCAGGTCTAATCCCTGGCCACCCCCATTTTTATCCGATACCCACCTCATGCGCCTCCCCCCGCTTCCCCCTCGCGACCCTTCCCCCTTTTCTTTGTGACGTATTAAGCAGCTTGGTGCACTGCCCCCCTGTACCATGCATACCCTCTGCCTTTCCAAGCTTGCCTCCCCACATGCACCCGCCCTTCAGCCTTCAGGTACCTCTACCTGCTGATGCTCCTCCTGCCAGCCATGTCATTCCCCAGCCTCTGCTGCTTCTATCGAGACGTCTCAAAGGTCTTCCCGTTCCCTTCTCATCTCCCTCCCCACTGCACCCTTGCGTCGTCCCTCTGCCTTCACTGGCTCTTTCCCTCCTGGGACCCAGTGGAGGCTGAGGCGACCGGTTTACGGACTTCGTCAGGCTCCTCGTGAGTGGCACGACACCCTGCGTTCTACCCTGTCTGACCTTGGGTTCCAGCCGTCTTCTGCTGACCCGTCGCTGTTCGTTCGTCGTGGCCCCACACCTTTCTTTGTTCTGGTCTACGTTGACGACCTTGTTTTCGCCACCCCTGACAGGGTTGCTTTGGCACACGTGAAGTCCGAACTGCAGAAGAGACACACCTGCACTGATCTTGGTGAGCTGCGCCACTACCTTGGCCTGCAGATCACCAGGGACAGAGCTGCTCGCACCATTACACTTTCACAGTCGCACATGGTGCAGCAGGTCCTTCAGCGGTTCGGGCTTCAGCACTCCACAGTACAGCGCACACCTCTTGCTGTTGACCACAGACTCACTGGACCCTTTCCTGACGAGCCGTTCGAGCCTAGTGGTCCCTACGCTGAGCTTGTGGGTTGCCTCATGTACCTGATGACTTGTACTCGCCCGGACCTCGCCTTCCCTCTCAGCGTTCTTGCGCGCTTTGTTGCGCCAGGGAGACACCGTCCTGTTCACTGGACAGCAGCTGTGAGGGTGGCGAAGTACCTAGCGACGACGTCAGGCGTGGGGCTAGTTCTTGGAGGGCAGCAGTCTGTCGTACTTACTGGTCACTGTGACTCCTCTTACGCTGACGACGCTGAGACTCACAGGTCTACTCAGGGGTACTGTTTCAGCCTGGGTTCTGGAGCTGTTTCCTGGCGGTCCACGCGCTCCTCTTCGGTCTCGACCTCTACAGCTGAGGCTGAGATCTACGCTGGTGCCATGGCGGCACAGGAGCTGCGTTGGTTGACCTTCTTGCTCACCGACCTTGGTGAGCGGCCGAGCTCTGCACCGACCTTGTTCACTGACAACAAGGCGTCTATTCTCCTTTGTCGAGAGCCACGACTGGAGAGCAGAGTGAAGCACATTCACGTCAGGTACTTTCTTCTGCGAGAGTTGCAGAGGCGTGGACAGGCTCGCTTTGAGTTTGTGGAGTCCGAGGCCAACACTGCAGACATCTTCACCAAGGCGCTTCCGCCTTGTGACCACCAGAGGTGCTGTGTGCAGTTAGGCCTTGTTGACACTGGTTCTCGTGTTGCTTAGACTTGAGTGTACTGTTTACTTTGCTTTCTATATACCTCTGTTACTTCTTGGACTGGCCTTGTGGCCACTGTTGTTTGTGCTCAGACTGTGTGGTGACGTTGTGATCCACCCTGAGCTTCGTTTCTTGGACTGGTCTTGTGACCGTACTCGTTTGGTTCTGCTAGACACCCCTCACTTAGGCTATGGGGGTGTGTCAAATGTTGTAGCCTATAGTGAGGTTTGTCTTAGGGGGTACAAAACTTAGGGTTAGCTATATGTACCCCAACCAACATCAATGCATCATTCATTCCTCATTCTGACATAAGCCGCGATGTTACCCACAAGCGTTTTCAGCCAGCAAGGCATCCAGTCGTCTTCGCGCCCGCAGTGCTCCCGAGCGCACAGGGATGGGGCGTTCCACTATTACGGGATTCTCGGCCAGCGAAGGCGCCAGGTAGGAGCTGGTGGACAGGCTGCACTGGCTCGTGATCAGAGGACAACCCGTGGAGACGTTAATCACCTGGAGGCAAGTAACTCGGCGTGGGGGAGCGGCAGCTATGGTGCGGAAGGCGACGACACATCGGCAACCGCGAGTGAAGAGCTGAATGTCAGCGTTGCGGCCTATGACGAGCCGGTCGACGAGGAGGTGGAAGGTGACGTACTCATGGCACCTTGAATGCTGATGCTTGAGACAATCCTTCACAAGTAGCATCTGTGTTGTTTCGTTACGAGCTCCTCGTCTAACGACAGTGTTTGGGAATTTTTAATGCATTGCTTCCAACACCAGCTATGGGGCGCCAGCGACGCGCCATCGCAGATATATCTGAGGCCGCGCCCAGAGCACCGTCCGTGGACCACGATGGCAACCCCGCTAATCTTAGGAGCGGTGGGAGGGGGCCGGACGTCACTGGGTGCAGAAACGGAGCTGCGACACGCCGATTCACGCAAGAGTATGTCGAAGGCCTTGAAAGGAGGGTGCGGGATGCTGATATGCAAGCACTTCGCGCGCGGGACTCCCCACGCGCTGGATCAGACGCTCCCGGGAATGACAATGCTGCCCCGGGCTCGAGAAACGGAGGAGGGAAGCGTAGCCGCCGCGACGTCGATACTCATGGTCCGCCTGGTCGCCGTGTGCATCCGGATCCAGCGGTGCAGAACAGCCGTCGCAGCCAATTCTCACCGTTCGTGACACGGGCCTTACAGAGAGAGTTCCACGCTGTCCACGCGGGAGGTGTAGTGCTGACCCCAGGCGTGAAGACATATGCGAGCACGCTGGGCGAGGCGGACTTGGTGATTCCAACTGCTGACGAAGGATTGCAGGCGAGTGGACCGGCCTGTCCGTCTCCGTTCAGCAATCTCACATGCCCCGAATGTTATGCAGCCCCCATGGTCCGTTTTCCCCTTGCTGATTACAGGATACCGTGGAGGTAGCGATCGACGTGCTCATCTTCGAGTTAGCGGACAATTTAACAATCGTCGGGGCGGTCACGGACGGGTCTGGTCTAGCAGGCGGGAGCACGCAGGAGCTCTTCGGCTTCTCGTATGGCATGCCGTTGAGCACCATGAAGTATGCCCGCGCGACGTCCCACAACGTCGAGCGGCACTTGTGCATCCGTTCGGTGAAGATTTTGGCGCGCTCCTTGTCCAGTGACCACACGACATGGAGACGCCTAAGCTCGTCCTTCCCGTCAATGCCAATAGCTTTCGCCATCACTCGCTCGACGACGGCGTCCGATGGCCACTTTCTAAAGGAAAATGCACCAGGTACATGTCTTGCATGCAGGGGTGTGACCTGCTCCTTTCCGCAGTTGATGACTACACTGAAATTATGTGCGGGGTGTTTCATTCTTTATGCTGCAGGGTGCGGGAGCCATGAACTTTACACATGGGATGTGGTCGGCGGCGTGCCTTTCGCCAAGGAGGCGTTTGACGTCAGGCTTTATGAGACGTTCAGCACTCGGTCATATGGCGGAGGTCAGATGGTGCTGAAGATTACGGTCGTTGCGTTCTGGGTGTTCGGGGTGAGTCACCATTTACAGTCAACAAGTGTTATTTCATACATGTTTGGTAGCCGATGAATAATGTTTGAATTACACGTGGGGCTGTAATATGTGGCAGACGGAAACCCCGCTGAAGACTGGGAAGCCTTTAACGAAGAGCGGAGAGCAGAATGACCAGGGCGTGCGCTGGTATCACTCTCGTCTTCGCACATAGGCACGCCAGGCGATTCTGTCCCGGACTATGGAGCGGAGCCCTTGGTGGAAGGCGAGGTGGGCTTGGGCTTTCAGACAGAATGCCCTTGTGCTGATTTCCGATGACGGGATTGACCTTGGATTCAACGAAGCTGTTGAGACACGCTAGTATCAGGGCGGCCTGTACAGTGTGGGTGTGTTTGTCAGTGGGCGCCATGTATGGTTAATTTTTTTATGTTTAATTTTTTGAAGACACACAATGTGTCGAGATAGCTAGGCAAGGTGGTTCGATTGACGAGAGAGTTTGGTACATGACACACAACCCTAAAGTGTTATCCCCTATAACATCTACCCCACTACAGCCTACCAATATATATCACACATATATATCATTTGACACACCCCCATAGGCAAAGTGGGGGAGAGCAACGGGTCACAAGACCAGTCAAGAGAAGCAAAACAAGCTCAGGGTGGATCACAACGTCACCACACATTCTGAGCACAAGCAAATGGCCACAAGGCCAGTTCACATGCAGAGATATATATGCAGCAATGACAGTACAGTGATGGCTACCTAGCAAGAGCCAGCATGCAGGTATATATATATATATATATATATATATATATATATATATATATATATATATATATATATATATATATATATATATATATATATATATATCACAGTACAAGCAGAAACTACAGCAAGTGTGGAAGCGTAGGCACAAGGCCTAACAGGGTACAATGTGCACGTGTGTCTCTTCTGCAGCTCCGACTTCACGTGGGCAAGAGCCTCAGTGTCAGCAGTGGCAAAAACCAAGTCGTCGATGTACACGAGGATGTAGAACGGCGGCAGTGAAGTGTCGGTGCGCAGAAACAGCGACGGGTCAGCAGTAGAAGGCGCAAACCCAAGAGCCGCAAGCGTAGTCCTCAGTGTGTTGTGCCACTCACGTGGCGCCTGGCGGAGACCGTAGACCGGCCGCCGGAGGCTCCACTGGGTGCCAGGAGGGAACGACCCAGTGAAGCCCGGGGGGCGGCGCAGCCAGATCTCCTCGTGCAGGCTGCCCTGCAAGAAAGCTGTGCTGAAGTCAAGAGACTGAAGCTCGTAGTCACGGTGAGCAGCAACATGCAGCAGCACCCGAAGAGTGGTCATCTTCGGGGTGGGGGAGAAGGTCTGGAAGAAGTCAACTCCCTCTCGCTGACTGAAGCCTCGAGCCACGTAACGCGCCTTGAAGACAGGCGGAGAACCCGGCGGGCGCTTCACCCTGAAAATCCACATGCCATCGACGATGTTCGCCCCAGGTGGGGGAACCTCGTCGACATAGGTGCGTGTGGACTTCCAGGAAGCCATCTCTGCGTCCATGGCTGCCTGCCACTGAGAGGAGTAGGGACCCGCCATCGCCTCTGCGTAAGAGCGCGGAGTCGGGATGTCTGGTGCATCCGGGTCTCCCTCAGGGGCAAGTAGCGAGGACACAAGATGAGGTAAAGCAGCAGCAAGACACTGGAACTCCTCCTGCCTGTCCTCAAGGACGTCCGTGCTAAGAGCACACTCACCCCCGACGGACGGAGGACAGTCAGACTCAGACTCAGTAACAAGACTGGCAGTGAAGTCTAGACGACAGGCAGCAGCAAAGTCAACAAGCTCAGCGACAAGAGCAGACGCAGCAGCAGACTCAAACGATGGGTCAGTGACAACTGTGGCTAGCAGACGCGTGACAGTAGGGTGCTCAGCACAAAACCGGTCAGACGCAGGGTCCGGAACGTCAGGCAACGAGGACGCAGGAGGAGACGGCAGAGGAACAGGCTGTGGAGCAGAGGAAGGACGACGGACTACGAGGTGTGCGCTGGGGACAGCCGGCTGACGCGAGCGAGGAACACGACGACCGGTACGACCAGGACGAGCAGGCGAGACAGGACGCGACGCAGGCTCACGACGCTCAGCAGGACTACCAGTCTGCTCAGTGTAAGGAGAAGGAGCAGGCAGCGGTGAGCCAGGCTGTAACGGAAGACCAGTAGACGACGGGAGAGTAAGAACCTGACGAAGAGCAGAGTCAGACGGCGGCAGAGACGACGGAGACGGTGGAGCGAAGAACAGTCGTGTCGGCGCAGCTGCGCCAGTACCGGCAGCTCCAGCAGCTCCAGTACCTCCAGCAGCTCCAGCACCTCCAGCTGGTAGTTTGACAAAGATCTCTACGTCGACCGGTGCGTAAAAAGGCGTTGGCGACGTCGATTTGCCGTAGCTTCTTCTTCTTCATCATGGCGGTGATCGCGAGGAGAATTCGCAACGAGGTGTGTCTGCTCCCTGGCGCGAACGTTTCGGTGAAGTCGCGCCCATGCTCTTGGTCGAAGCCGCGTACGACCCAGCGTGCTTTGAACTTGTCGTTGGTGCCGTCTGCTTTCGTTTTCACACGGAAGACCCACTTCCCAGTGAGTATTGTCTTGTTTCTTGCCACGCTGATGGGAACGACTTTCCACGTATTGTGTTCCTCCAGTGCCTTCCGCCTTGGTCACCCCTCCCTTCCTCGCCTTCGTGGCATGCACTCTCGCTCCCTAGTCTCTGGGCTTCCCAGGTCTCTGCCTGCCCTCCCTCCCTCGCCTGCGCCGCCCTGCATTCCCTGCGTCGAGGGGCGGCAGCGCGCCGCTCCTCACTCCTCCTCGTTTCCTCCCACAGAGGCTCCCCTGCAGACGCTCCACCTGGACGTGTGGGGCCCAGCCCGCGTCCAGGGACAGGGCCGTGAGCGGTACTTTTTGCTGGTTGTCGACGACTACACGCGTTACACCACGGTCTTCCCCTTGCGCAGCAAGGGGGACGTCCCTGCTGTTTTGATCCCCTGGATCCGCGCTGTGCGTCTCCAGCTCCGCGAGCGGTTTGAGCGGGACTTCCCTGTCCTGCGTCTGCACTCTGACAGAGGTGGTGAGTTCTCCTCTGACCTCTTGGCAGCCTTCTGTGCGGAGCACGGCATTACCCAGTCGTTCACGCTTCCGGCCTCTCCGCAGCAGAATGGGGTTGCTGAGCGCCGCATTGGCTTAGTCATGGAGGTCGCTCGTACCTCCATGATCCATGCGGCGGCTCCCCATTTTCTGTGGCCGTTTGCGGTTCGGTACGCCGCGCATCAGCTCAACCTCTGGCCCCGTGTCTCCGTGCCGGAGACCTCGCCCACGCTGCTGTGGACGGGGGAGGTTGGCGATGCGTCGCGTTTCCGGGTCTGGGGTGCTCGTGCCTTTGTCCGCGATCTCACCGCGGACAAGCTCTCTGCTCGCGCCGTTCCCTGCGTCTTCCTTGGTTTTCCTCCTGACGCGCCTGGCTGGCAGTTTTACGACCCCACCTCGCGCCGTGTCTTTGCGTCTCAGGACGTCACCTTTGACGAGTCTGTTCCCTTCTACCGTCTCTTTCCCTACCGCACTGCCTCTCGCCCCCCCCCGCCGCTCTTTCTCGCTCCAGGTCCTCCCCAGGTAGACCCCCTCCCCGCGCCAGGTCCTGCTCCTTCAGGTGTTTCTCAGGTAGACCCTCCGGTACCTGCGCCTGTTGAGGTCACTGGTGACTCAGGTCCTGCTGGAGGTGGTCCTGCTCGGGGTGCTGTCTCTGGGGGTGCTGAGCCTGGGGGTGCGGAGCCTGAGCGAGAGGCGCCTAGAGGTGCTGAGCCTGGGGGTGCGGAGTCTGGGGGTGCTGTGCCTGCGCGTGAGGAGCCTGGAGGTGCTGAGCTTGGGGGTGTCGAGTCTGAGGGTGCGGAGCCTGCGCGAGAGGAGCCTGGAGGTGCTGAGCCTAGGGGTGCGGAGTCTGGGGGTGCTGTGCCTGCGCGTGAGGAGCCTGGAGGTGCTGAGCTTGGGGGTGCCGAGTCTACGGGTACTGAGCCTACGCGTGAGGAGCCTGGGGGTGCTGGCGCTGAGGGTTCTGAGTCTGCTGTTGCGCGGTCTCCTTGGAGTAGCCGCCTTCGTCCACGTGTGCCTCTCACCTCACAGCAGCTGCAGGACCAGTACGGTCGCCGTCAGGGTCGCACTGCTGGTGCCCGGGGCTCTACTGCTGGAGTCGCTGGTTCCGGAGGTGCTCGTCCTGGGGGTACTGGAGCTGCTGGGGCTTGGGGTGCTGGTTCTGGGGGTGCTGCTGCTGGTGGTGCCACAGAAGCGTGTCGTGCGACAGGCGGCGGCACTCACACTGGGTAGCTACCTGGGCAGACGCGTACAGCTGAGGAGACAAAGGAGTGGAGCGTGAAACAGTGGTGAGGGTGTACAGACTAGACCCCGGCTCACGAGTGAACGTGGCCAGGTGGCGGCCAGTCTCGGAGCACGTGCAGATCGGGACACGCTGCCCTCCAGGAGTCCAGGTGTCAACCCAGTGATCCTGGAGGACGGCGTTGCTCACCAGGTTCGTAGAGAACGAGGGAACGTGGAGACCTGACAGCTCACCAGACGGGACCGCCGGGCACGAGAGCACAGTCGTGGCTCGTGCAAGCACTGGGCCCCCAGAGGGGTCAGCCAGTGAGACAGGGACAGGTGCAGGGAGGGGAGTGACGGTGGTGCTATCGCGAAAGAAACAGCGGGAAGCACCAGAGTCAAGTGTAAACGTGTGCAAGGCCTGAGTCGACTCAGTACCACGGGGAGCAGACTCACTAGCACCTAGGGCTGCAGCCCTTATACCGGGGTCAATACCAGGATCAGGCGGCACACACAAGTAGCAGTCACCCTCAGCACTAACAGTCAATGCATACATAGCAGCAAGAATAACATCATAGTCCAGATCAAAGATAGGCACATCACGCCTAAGCAGCTCGGCCCAGTTGGGGAACTCAGTAGCATCAGGATACTTGGCACGCCAGGCGTCACTAAGCCTGGCAAAACAACGATACTCAGTGTGAAAACCGTTGCAGGGGCGACCCTTGCGGGGGCCAGTACGAATGACATAGGGGCAGCGGTCAGAACCCCGAGACGCCCCACGCCCAGCATACCAGTCATTGAGCTGCTGGGAGGTGAGGGGAGGAAGCTGCTGCTGCTGCTGTGGCTGTTGCTGCTGCTGCTGCTGCTGGCCACCCTTCTGGCCAGATCCACCCCCACTCCCACCTCCACCGCCACTGCCGCTGCCTCCTCCCCCACCACCGCCGCCGCCGCCTCCACCGCCCCCGGTCCTGCCGCCACCCCACCCACCGCCTCCACCCCCACGGCCACCCCCACCACCTCCACCACCCCCGCCGCCTCCACCACCGCTCCCTCCACCGCCACCTCCGCCACCCCTGCCACCCTTGCCGCTCCTGCCACCACCACGCTTCCCACCAGGAGTGGAAGCCGCTGCGACCTTCTCCGCACCGAGGAAGTCGACAGCAGTAGCAGCAGAGGCGTAGGAGGGGTCAAGAGGGGAGGGGGAGCACCCCTCAAAGAGGGGAGTGCGGGGAGTGCCACGAGCAGCACCGACAGCGAGGATGTTCTTCTCTGCTGCGACCAGCTGCTGCTCGAAGTCGTCCAGAGTGATAGTTGGAGGATCCTTGGCAAGGAAGTAATCCCTGACAGAGCGAAGAGTGTCAGGGAGGCGGGTGACGAGGATGTAGAGGGTGAAGTACAGCGGGGGGGTGTTCGTGGCGAGGAACTCGGCGGTAAGAGCGGCTCGAAAGCGGGCGTCACTAGCGCGGAGGTGAGTGATAAGGTCGGCAGCAGTGTGAAACGAGGCTAAGTCTGGGAACAGGTATGGCAGGATGAGACTACCAACGGTGGCTGTGGCCGGGGCGGAATAGCGGGCAACGACAGCATCATACAGCGTCTTGGCAGTCTTAAGCTGGTTGAAATGCGCGCGCTCAGAGATCGGTAGGTGATTGCGAATAACAAGGCGTGCGACTGCGTCGCGGAGCTCCCACTGTGCTCGTTCAGGGGCAGGAGCAGTCTCAGCTGGAGTAGGGACAGTGCCAGTGACATAGGCTAGTAGTGATACTCCGTCTGCGACGTCAGTCATAAGGTAAAGTCGCAGATCACTAAGCCAGGTGTCAAACTCGATGGGGCGGCCGTCAGGCTCAAAAGCGAGAACAGTAAGGGTCGCCATGGTTGCAGCGCAGGCAAAAGTAGCTGGCTCAGGCAGCAGGCTCAGGCAGCAGGCTCAGGCAGCAGGCTCAGGCAGTAGGCTCAGGCAGCAGGCAAAGGCTGCAGGTTCAGGCAGCAGGCAACTGTAGCAGGCAGGTGCGCAAGGCAGACGGTAGAGGCGCAAGGCAGGCAAGAAAAAGACAGGGTAAACCCTAAACCCTGGCGGCAGGTACAGGCGGACGCAATGCACGGGGCAGCAATGCGCTGTACGAGAGGCAATCGCGACGTGCAGGGCCTAGGCGGGCCGCGCACGGACGGTAGGTGCAGCGCGCAGCGCTGGAGTGGGCCGCGCAGGCAGCAAATGCGACGCGCGGGGCGGAAAAGGGGCTGCGCGCGAGCAGCACATGCGACGCGCGGGCTGCAGACGGGCTGCGCGGGGCCTTAGCGGGCTGCGCGAGGCAGGGACGGGCCGCGCGCGAGCTATGCGGGCTCAGGGCGGGCTGCGCGGGCGACGGACGGGGCGCGACGCGGCTGGCAGCAGCAGTGCGCGCTAAAAAAAAAGGCGTGCGCGCGCAGCCGAGGCGCGCGCGGGCAGCAGGCTAGGTAGACCAAAAGGCAAGGCAGGTAGGCAGGCCGTTGGTGAGGTAACTTAGTAACTGGTGGGCCCTTAAACTTAGGTCCTAAGAACCTGCTCTAGATGCCATGTCGAGATAGCTAGGCAAGGTGGTTCGATTGACGAGAGAGTTTGGTACATGACACACAACCCTAAAGTGTTATCCCCTATAACATCTACCCCACTACAGCCTACCAATATATATCACACATATATATCATTTGACACAATGTTGCATGAATGAGCATCCATAATGTGATGGGTTCACACGTAGTGATTAATAACGCGTTAATAATTCCATAGTGGGCATTTTAAAAAGATAACGTAGTGTTCTAACAGAGGTGTAGATATTACTACTAATTGCGTCGTGACTATATCGAGAAGCGTCTTTTGAAGTTTGTTAGTGGTAGTGTGTACTACTAACATTGTACTGTCCTTACAGAGGTGTAGCCATTAATACTATTGACGTTGTGACAAGATCGGGAGGCGTATAGTGAAGGTCATAAAATGTATATGCGCATTTAGCAACCATCTGTGGACTTGAGGTGTTCGAAGTAACGATTGTTTAATTGTAACAGTCGCGGATTGGTTTCGAGTATCGGGATCGCCACATACGCTGGGCGAATGGCGTGACACTGTGGTGGCAGTTGATGGTGAGTTTGTGCGAAGTCGCGGGTTGCCTCGGAGCATGCACCTCGGCCTACACCGTAGGTTACATGGGGGGGAAGTGGTCGCCCCCAAGGTAACCTTGTCAAACACCTGTGGGTAACCTCCATCGAGGATACCCATGGGTAAGGGCGTGTCCAGCTCGTACGTTTTCGGTTCATATGCAGTTCATCTACCGTGGTTCAAAACAAATATCAACAGGTGCAAAACGATTTTAGATTTCCACCCCTGTGCACCGTGACGCAAAGCGGTCAACCGCACAAAATGAATTGAAAATGTACGAGCTGGATACGCCCTAACATCGGGTGAAGTTTGAGGGAAATTTTGGGGGGTTGGAATTTTCTAGAGATCTCCGAGTCGCCTTCAGCCGCATCTGGCACCGGCGATTGGAGATCCGTTCGGCATACGGGGCAGGTGGTCTTGGAGGCGAGCCAATGGTCGATGCAGGCCACGTGGAACTGATGCTCTCACGGCAGTACGGACCGAACCAGCTCGCCCTCGTTGAAGTCACTCAGGCACACAGTACACTCAGTGCTTGTCAACAGACTTCTCCGTTTCAAGAACTCTGATTCTTGAGAGTCTGATTTTCGTAACAAGTTACCAGCGTCAGCGAATATAGCAATTTCCTTGTCATCGTAGTTCCCCTTATCGGCGGAAACATCCTCCGCAACAGCGGGGAAAACGCAGTAAGGCCATGTGGGGAACGCCGCAATTCGCTCCGCGTCCAGCCCGTCGCCAGGCGCTTGCGAACCACCCGCACCGGCGGTTGCCACCGAATCCGCTTCGTTCGTCGCGCGGCGAGCGCGGCGCAGGTGAATCCGCACGTAGTACCGAGCCGCGAACGTGATGACCCCGAGAACCACGACGACGAGCAAAACGACGGCGATCGCGATGCAGAAGGGAAGCGCTTTTGTCCCCGCCACTGCAGCAGCGGCCCCTGCCGCCGCGCCACTCCCTCCCTCCGCGGTTATCCCCGCTGGCGTCGCCGCTGCTGCTTGCGAAGCGCGCGGCAGCAGCGCCTCCTGGTCTTCCGACAGCTCGTCTTCCTCCTCTTCGCGCAGAAACCGCGGAGGTCGGGGAAATCTGAGCGGGGATGGTTGTAACGGAAGCGCGAGAGAACTTCCATCCGCCGAGGGGAGGCTTGAGGCCATTTCGTCAAATAGAGGAGGGGGTAAAAGGAGGAGGGGGGGAGGGTGAGGGGGAGGAATGGGGGTCTGTCTGATCACGGCGAAACGGGAGGGATTTGTGTATTAACTAACACGAACCCGTCACACTGGGGGCTCATGTTTAGGGAGCGTGCGAAGACAAAGCCGTCGTGCAGTTACTCTCGTCGTGTCATGCTTTCACCAGATTTAGGGGCAACACGAACAAAGAACGTTCTGGAATGCGAGGTGCGCGCCCGTGTTTGCTAAGCTTGGAGGAACCACACGTAGCGTCAAGCGATGGCTGTAGAGGACTACAGTACAAACAGAATAAACCTGCACCTTCATCGTGTGCACTCGTGCATGGAGGAAGTCTTCAGCCAATGGCGGGCCATGCCGGGATCAAGCAGACCTATCAACGAAAGCCGTCTTTTCGGGTTTGAAATGTCAGCCATAGATGGATCTCCTAAAGATTTTCGATAGAGCGACACACAACCGTCACCACACAAGCCGTCACTTGCAGAAAACCATTCCAATCCAAGTTAGGCGGAACTGAGCCGAAATTCACCTGATTTTGTTTTCTACGATAGGTGACAGACGACAACAATATTAGTCACAACAGATTCATTCACCGTCGCTTGGTCCTAGGGCCGCGTGTGAGCAGCGAGAAAGCAAGCAGTCGCACACACACCACAACCTGCTATTCCCGTTTTGCGTGTCACCTCTCTGTTCGAAATCGTCGCACGTTCGAACGTTTGGTTTCCAATTTCGTCTTTCCTCGCGAGCGTGATCGTTATTCTAACGACCTAACCGAAACATACACGAATATTTAACGAAGATGGAAACCCGTCGTCTGTTTAAACATGCGACACTGGGAGGTAACACGCCCTTACCCAGCCACCCATTTCGCAAGGTGGCCCAACAGTTGCACTATCACTCATTATCGCGAATTACAAATAGTTACCCGGTAGTTTATCGCTTTTGAAGATTTCTGGCTGAGATTCCTCGCGTCGCAGAAAAATTTGACTTCGCCTGAGACCATTGATTGATCCTGTAACCATGGCGCGATACCCGTTTCCACACACAAAAGTACAAGATCTGTGTGCACATGTTCGATCGACGTTTTCAGAGGTGATAGGTTCTGATTTACTAATTCGCGATTGCCCTCCCACTGTGTTACTCTACACCCGTCACACCGATCCCGCGCAGGAGTGATCGGCTAGGGAAATACCCAAAGTACGTTCCGAACGGGATAGAGCACCAGGCCATGGCTACTGATCTGCGTTAGCGCCCCTCCATCCGCTAGGCACACCCGACTCTTTCCCTAACACCGCCTCTCCCGGCCCCAACGGTTGGCTCTCCAGTCCCCACACCCACCCTCTCTCTCCCGCTGTCGCCCATGCCATCGCCCCGCGCGAGCCGCGCGCCGTGAACCGGCGAGGGCGGCGACGAGTCGCGAGCGGCGCGGCTGACGCGGCAATGGCGAGCGACGCGTGTCTGGAGAAGTTCCTCGTCTACGAGACTCAAGCGGTGCGGCTTTTTCGGCGCGTTTAAAGATGGCAGGAGAAACCAGCGGTGCGCGCGCCGCCCGTGCACGCGCTGAAAATAAAAGCGCGTGCGCGCTGCGCTGCGCTGCGCCTGGCATGCGAGCGCGTGAGATTGGAGGTCGCCACGTGTATGCTCGTCATTGGCAGGCGGGATGCTGCTGCCACACACACTGTAACACCTCGCTACCCACTGGGTCAAAACGAGGGTTATATTTGAGGCGCAGCGGATGCACTCATACCCTTACGTGTAAGCCCCACAGGCGTTACACTCGTCCCCCCCTGGAGCCAACGTCCTCGTTGGGCAGGGAGTAGGGCCTCGCAAGGACCTCAACTTCGCTCAATAGCGACTTCGCTGGTGGGCCAGGCCAACGGCGGATCGTTCACGACTGGCACATTCAATGTGACCCAGCCGGGAATCGAACCCCAGGCTCTGAGACCAAATGTAACACCTCGCTACCCACTGGGTCAAAACGAGGGTTATATTTGAGGCGCAGCGGTTGCACTCAACCCTTACGTGTAAGCCCCACAGGCGTTACACACACCACTTCCGCCTCCTTCCCCTCCACAACCCCTCTTTCCCTCTCTCTCTTCCTCCTTTCTACCCTCACTCTCCCTCCCCACACCCCCCCTTCCCTGGCCTTTTCCCTCTTGCTCCTTCCTCTTCTTCCCCATTCCCCCCTTCCGTCCATTTCCCCTCCCTCCCTTTGTTTCAGTGCTTCTACATAGTGGTTCGGGGCGAGAAAAGACCCTTTCCCTCCTTTTTCCTCCCCCCCCCTCTCTCCCTCTTCCTTTCAGCGCTTCTACATAGTGGGTCGGGGCAAGAACAAGGATCAGAAGCGGATTCTCAAGATTGACCGATCTGAGCCGTTGGAGCTGGTGCTGGTGGAGGATCCGACGGTGTACACCGCCCGGCAGTGCTCTGCGCTGCTGCAGCAGCTCGCAGAGGGCAACCGCAGCTCGGGGGGGCTTCGCCTGGTCACCAAGGCCTATGGCATTGTTGGTGAGTCGTTGAGGAGGCTTATAAGGGGTATGGGACGGCTGGTGTGTGTGTTTTGACTCTGCACTTGAACCCTGCCTGATTCTGGTGACGCCGTTGCTGTTCCTTGTTCCATCCCCCCTCCCCCCCCCCCCTCTGGCCTTGTCTGTCCCACGCACTGAACTGAAACCCTCTGGTCAGGTTGCATGCTCGTTGCTTGCTTCCCTATAGCTGTGTTACCTTAGTCTCTTGCAAGTGTTGCTCTTTCTCTCTTTCCCGCCTTCAACCCCCCTCTCCCACTGGCAGGGTGCGAACAGCAAACGCTTTTTAGAGCCCTGATACCTGTTTCTGGTGCGGCCACTGTCCCTCTTTCCTCCCTCTTCCCTCCCTCCTCTGGGCAGGGTGTGTGCGTTTCTTAGAGCCCTGGAACCTCATTCTGGTGCTGCGGTTGCTGCACCCTCCTTCCTCTCCCCTCACTTCCCACTTCCGTTCCTTTCCTTCCCTCCTCTGGGCAGGGTGTGTGGGCTTTCTAGAGCCCTGGAACCCCATTCTGGTGCTGCGGTTGCTGCACCCTCCTTCCTCTCCCCTCACCTCCCACTTCCGTTCCTTTCCTTCCCTCCTCTGGGCAGGGTGTGTGGGCTTTCTAGAGCCCTGGAACCTCATTCTGGTGCTGCGGTTGCTGCACCCTCCTTCCTCTCCCCTCACCTCCCACTTCCCCTCCTTTCCTTCCCTCCTCTGGGCAGGGTGTGTGGGCTTTCTAGAGCCCTGGAACCTCATTCTGGTGCTGCGGTTGCTGCACCCTCCTTCCTCTCCCCTCACCTCCCACTTCCCCTCCTTTCCTTCCCTCCTCTGGGCAGGGTGTGTGCGCTTTCTAGAGCCCTGGTACCTGATTCTGGTGCTGCGGTTGCTGCACCCTCCTTCCTCTCCCCTCACCTCCCACTTCCCCTCCTTTCCTTCCCTCCTCCGAGCAGGGTGTGTGCGTTTCCTAGAGCCCTGGTACCTGATTCTGGTGCGGCGGCGGCGGCAGGTGGGGTGCATGAGGGGGCATGCATTGTTCCGCATAGAGGAGAGTCTCGTGCTCACCGTGCCCCATGCCTCCGTGCACACCAGCGTGGCTTCCAGCACCATGGAGCAGCGGTGAGTAGCGGTGGGGAGCGGTGAGGGCCTTGCACACCAACGTGGCTGTATCTCTCCCACCCCATCCTGCTTCAAGAGGCTGCTGTCAGGCGTGGATGTCACAAAGGACTTCGTCTACCCTCCTCAAGCATTCTACCCTCTCCTCTTGTTCCTCTTTCATGCTCCAGTTTCATCCACAACACTCCCAGCACTCCCAGCACTCGCACCACTCGCACCACTCGCACCACTCGCACCACTCGCACCACTCTTTACGCCCCCATGCACGTCCCCCCCATCAGGTATAAGAGGCTGCTGTCAGGGGTTGACCTCACAAAGGACTTCTTCTACTCACACTCCTATCCCGTCATGCGCTCGCTACAAGACAACGTCTGCCGTACCGTTGCCGGGTGCACCGAGTGTGACAGCAGCAGCACTGGCCAGGGGTTGTGTGCGGGCATGCCCCACAAGGGTCATATGGCCCATATGGCTCATGAGCACATGTTTGTGTGGAATTCGTTTCTCACACGCCCCATCCGCCATGCCCTCGGCACGAACCGCTGGACACTCGCTCTCTCCCACGGCTTCTTCCACCAGGTGGGCTGCTGCTCGCTGCTTGATGCTCCTTGCTCCATACTTCTCACGCGCCCCATCCGCCATGCTCTCGGTGCAAACAGGTGGGTTGCTGCTCCCTCCTTGCTCACTGCTTGCCCCTTGCTCCTTGCTGCTCGTTGCTCGCTGCTCGGTGAATGAATATTGGTTTTGAGACGTCTCAAAACCAATCTTCATACACCTTGCTGCTCGCTGCTCGGTGGTCATCTTGGTGAGGCTAAAAGCTTCTCCAACTTCGCGCCAATCACGCCACTTTGCGCCAATCACGCCACTTTGCCGGAACAAAGCACCTTAAGAGCTGGGTCAACGAACGACCTTCCGTGCCCCTCCTGTCCCCTCGCCTCCCCTCCTCCTCACCTCCTCTCCTGTCCGTATTCGGGCGAGGCATTTCACTTGGCTAGATAACCCGCTGATTGCGCCACTTTGCTAGCACGCGCTACCTCAAGAGGGGGGTGGGGTGAACGACCTTCCTCTCCCCTCGTCCCTCCCATCCCCTCCCCTTCTCAGGAGCGCATGTCCATTTTTGGCCGAGTCATTTCGCTGGTGCTCATCGCCCGTCGCTCGCGCCACTTTGCGGGAACACGGTACCTCAAGTGGGGGGTGAACGACCGGGGGCGAGTGGCCAACGAGGTGGAGGTGGAGCAGCTGCTGCTCTGCACCGCTCTGCACCGTGAAGCAACCATTCTCTCTTTTGCTCCCTTCTCCCCACTACCCTCCTCGTCTCAGGAGCGCATGTCCATTTTCGGGCGAGTCATTTCCCTTGTCTTGATAGCGCGTCGCTCGCGCCACTTTGCCGGAACGCGGTACCTGAAGAGGGGGGTGAACGACCGGGGGCGAGTGGCCAACGAGGTGGAGGTGGAGCAGCTGCTGCTCGACCACTCCCACGAACCCATCCTACCGCCTCCCACCGCTCTGCACCGGGAGCCCATGCCTGTATCCGCATCCAGGCCCGTCCCAACCACTCACCCAGCGCAACACCAGTCCATGTATCATCACAGGAAGCAGCAGCATGCCGTCTCGCCACCCCCTTCCCCTGCCTCCTCCTCCCCTTTTCTTCTCGTCCAGTCCTTCTCATCTCTCCCTTCCTCCTCCGCCACCCATCCCCCTCCCATCAGCCCCAGAGAAAACCTTCCCCAGATAACACCTTTGCTTGGGGATAAGGCAGCAGTGGCGGCATCAGCAGCAGAAGCGGGGGCGGCAGCTGCAGCTGCAGCAGCGGTGGCAGTGGCAGCGGCAGGGGCAGCGTCAGCAGCAGCGGTGCCAGCGATGGCGAGTGTGGTGCAGGTGAGGGGGTCCATTCCCCTCTTCTGGTCGCAGGAGGCATCGCGACTCAGCCCCAAGCCAGACATCGTGTGTGAGTGGTGCAGTGCGGTGGGTGAGTGGTGCAGTGCGGTGGGTGAGTGGTGCAGTGTGATGGGTGAGTGGTGCAGTGCGGTGGGTGAGTGGTGCAGTGCGGTTGGTGAGTGGTGCAGTGTGATGGGTGAGTGGTGTAGTGCGGTGGGTGCATGGTTCAAACTCACATACCCACATGTTGTGGCCTTGTCCTCGCTATATGCCCACTATATGCCTCCTCACCTCACCTATGCACATTCACTCACCACCATGACCCTATGCCTATTTACTCTGCCACTGTCTGTCCAATGTATTGCTACCAACCACCCATATACAAAGCAGCCTGGTGGCCTTGTCCTCAATATACGCCTTCTCACTATGCCACCATGCCACTGTGTGCAGTGCGCCATTACAGCCACATGTCTTGTCCTCGTTATATGCCTCCTTACTAGTTAACACTGGTACTTTGTTGGTTCCCCGTGCCTCTGTGTGTGTGTGCAGTGCATCGCTATGACCCCATGTACACGGCAGCGCGGCTGCACTTTGAGAATCTCGTGTGCTTATCCTCGTTACTTGCATCCTCACTGTGTCTCTTCACTGTGTCTCCCCACTATCCCGCCATGCAGTGCACCGCTACGACCCCATGTACACAGCAGCGCGGCTGCACTTTGAGAATCTCATGGAGCGGTACGGCCGCCCTGTCATCATCCTCAACCTCATCAAGGTGCAGTGCGGTACAGTGCAGTACGGTACGGTCCCTGCTGCCGTCCTTACTCTGTGGAGCAGTACAAGCGCTCCATCAACATCCTCCATCCTCAACTTCATCAAGGTACAGGACGGTACCGTGTGGTGCCTGCTGCAGCGCTGCCCTGTGTGGCTCATCAAGGTACCATACCGTGCCTGCTGCTCGGCTTGGCTTGGAGTGAGAGGGTTGCGGTTTATCTAAAGTGGATTATGAAATGTAGTTTATGAAAGGAGGCATGCTCTTAGGCACCAGAAACATCATCCTCAACCTCATCATGGGATGGTGTTTTCTGCCATGTCTTTTAGTCGACTAAAATAAAGGCCCTCTCTCCCGCCCTCTCCCCCCGCCCTCTCTCCCGCCCTCTCCCCCCGCCCTCTCTCCCGCCCTCTCCCCCCGCCCTCTCCCCTCGCCTTCTCCCCCCGCCCTCTCCCATCGATCTCTCTCCCCGCCCTCTTCCCTCGCCTTCTCCCCCTCGCCCTCTCCCCTTGCCCTCTCTCCCCGCCCTCTCCCCTCGCCCTCTCCCCTCGCCCTCTCCCCTCGCCCTCTCCCCTCGCCCTCTCCCCTCGCCCTCTCCCGTCGCCCTCTCCCCACTCTGCTAGACCTTAATCTCAACTTTTGTAATTGTACGTTTATATCCTAACGTAGCGCAGTTTGCACTTTGTGTTGGGTGTACACCCACATCCCAACCAAACCCAAATGTGATCTCCAAGCAATCTCCAACCCACCAATTGGAGATTGCCTTGGGATTGCCCTTGATCCCCTAGGGATTACCCCCGATTCCCTCCTCATCCATTCCTTGCTCATTTTGTTTGTACTTAAAGAGCTTTGAGCTGAATTCTGACACCTCCGCCCTCTTCCCACGTTCTCTCCCCTCTCCCGCCTCCCATCTCCCCTTCAGATGGTGGAGAAGCTTCTGAGGGAGATGGTTTTGAGGCGGGAATTCGCCGTTGTGGCGTCTTTTGACCGCGTGCTGCCGACTCCCCTATCCCATATCCACCATTTTCTCAACCCTCACCGCTCTCCCCTCTGTCCACCCACCTTCCCTTCTCTCCCCTCCATTACCCTCTCCCCTCTCCAGACGGTGGAGAAGCACCTGCAGGAGATGATTCTGAGGAGAGAGTTCGCCATGGCAGTGCTGTATCTCAACCGCGTGCTCTGTCCCTTATCCCTCTCCACCGCTCTCAACCCATATCCCCACTTCCAGACGGTGGAGAAGCACCCGCGGGAGATGATTCTTCGGAGGGGGTTCGCCATGGCAGTGCTGTATCTCAACCGCGTGCTGCCCTCTCCCTCACCCCTCTCCCAAGTACACTCTCCCTCCCCACACCCTCACCCCTCTCCACCGCTCTCAACCCATATTCCCCTGGCCAGACAGTGGAGAAGCACCCGCGGGAGATGATTCTTCGGAGGGAGTTCGCCATGGCAGTGGCGTATCTCAACCGCGTGCTGCCACCCGACTCCTCCCTCACCTACATTCACTGGGACTTTTCAAGATACGCCAAGAGGTGAGCTGTCTTTGTTTGCACATGCCCATGTCACTTTCTAACAACATCTCATGGCAGTGCTGCCACCCGACTCCTCCCTCACCTACATCCACTGGGACTTCTCAAGACATGCCAAGAGGTGAGCAGTCCTGCGCGTAGGGAGTGGCAGTGGCATATGTCAAGCTGCCAACCATGTGTTGCCTCGCCACTCCACTCCGTGCTCATACAATCACTAGGACTTTTCTAGATACGCCAAGAGGTCAGCATTCTTGTGGTTCGCTCTGTCACATTCAATCAGCATGCCACGGCCGGCAGTGGCGCATCTCAAGTTAAACGCGTGCTGCCGTGCCGCTCCGCCCTCACATACACCCACTGGGACTTCTCCTGCAATGCCAAGAGGTGGGCAGTAAATCTCTTGAATACAGATGACCATTCTTGTGCATACAGCAATCACGAGGTGACCCTTCTCATTGCTTGCATGAATTAACAACAGTCGCCGCTCGTATATCCCCGGTTCCCCCTTGCCGCGCGAACACTCCTTTTCTCATGCAACCATCAGTACGGCAGGGGTCACCCTGTCTCATCACTACTAGCTCTTCTGCAGGATGGTAACCCTGTTTCGTGTAACGTGGAACACACGTCTTGACCTCTGATGTTTCCCCCAGTCACCACGAGTGCTGCAGCGAAATGTTAACACAGCTCTTTCAAATGCGTTACACGTTTACGTTTTGGTTTTGACCATGATATACCCGCCCTCCTTCCCCCTCACCTCCCACGCATCAGTGCAAACGCAACCACCACAGCAGGGGTCACCAGTGCAGCGGCAAGTGCGCTCAGCACTCTTACCACCACTCCCAACGCGCCCACCGTTCCCAACACACCCACCACACTCCAAACCCTTACCAGTCATCCCAGTCCCTTCTCCTCCTTCCCCTCCTCCTCCCTCATCCCCCCGTCCTCCCCTTCTGCCTCCTCCTTCTCGCTCTCGCCTCCTTCGCTCTCTCCTCGAGCCACCAACACGAGCGGCACCAACGGCCAAGCAAGCAGTGGCAGCGGCAGCAGAGGGAGTGGCAGCAGCAGCGGGGTCGGCAGTGGCACCAGCAGTAGCACCGGCGTCAGTGGGGGAAATGGCAGCGGAAGTGGGAGCAAGGGTAGTGTGGCGGAGGGGGTGTTGGGTGCACTGGCAACGATCGCCAGGGAGTGCCTCGCCAAGACCGGCTTTTTCTACTCTGGCCAGCTCGCCAGGTGTGCCCTCTGTTGTTTTCACCTGCCGTTTGTTGTTTTCACCTGAAATGACGACATGCGCCAGGTGCTCCTAGCACAGAAGGGAAAGGAACAGGAAAACTCCACTTGTGGGCAGATGGTCTCTCAAAAGGCAGAGCAGAGCAGAGTGTCACACACACAGCCCTCTTTTCCTCCCACCCACCTAAACAGCTCGTTGCCTTCCGTTCCGTTTCCCCCCTCTCCTTGCCCCCACCACAGTTGATTCGTGGGACATGTTGCAGAGCATGCTTTGCTTCTTGCCTTCTTGCCCATTGTTTCCTCCTCAGTTCTCCACTCCATCTCATCTGCCCCTTGTCCTCTGTTCCTCATCCCATATTTCCCCATCTCCTCTATTCCTGATCATCTACCTACCTTGTCTCCTCTCCACATTCTAGGGCTGCCACCAAGACGTGCTTCTCTTCCCGGCCGGCCACCCTTCCCTCTACCGCCACCACTGCTGCTGCTGCACCCAGCACAACTGGACCGAAGGAGGAGGAGGGGGTCAAAAGCAGAGGAGGCAGCAAGGGTAGAGGATCATCATCATCAGCCGCAGCAGTGGAGGAGGAGGAGGCAGGGAGATGGGTGCGTCCCCCGCAGCTTCAACACGGGATAGTCCGAACCAACTGTCTCGACTGCCTAGACCGCACCAACGTGGCCCAGTTCGTGATTGGTCGAGAGGCCCTCGCCCAGCAGCTCTACTCCCTCGGCATCACAGATTCGCCGCACCTGGACAGCAAGAGCGACATGGGGAGGCGGCTGCAGGGGATGTACATCGCGATGGGGGATGCCCTGGCGCTGCAGTATGGGGGGTCTGCAGCACACAACCTGGTCATTGCTGAGAGGCCGGGGACTTGGCGGTCGACTCTGCATTCCCAGGAGGTGCTGAAATCGCTCCATCGGTACTACAGCAATGCGATTACTGACGCTGATAAACAAGACGCTATCAACCTGTGAGTTTGGTAGTGCATTTTCTGGTCTCATCTCAGCACAGCAGAGCAGAGCAGAGCACAGCACAGCACAGCACAGCACAGCAGAGCAGAGCACAGCACAGCACAGCACAGCACAGCAGAGCAGAGCAGAGCAGAGCACAGCACAGCACAGCACAGCAGAGCAGAGCACAGCACAGCACAGCACAGCACAGCACAGCACAGCACAGCACAGCACAGCACAGCACAGCATAGCACAGCACAGCACAGCACAGCACAGCACAGCACAGCACAGCACAGCACAGCACAGCACAGCACAGCACAGCACAGCACAGCACAGCACAGCACAGCACAGCACAGCACAGCACAGCACAGCACAGCACAGCACAGCACAGCACAGCACATCAGAGCACTCTCACGCCTCTCTCTCATAGATGTATATCGCGATGAGAGATGCCCTGGCGCTGCAGTATGGGGGTCTGCAGCGCACAACTTGGTCATTGCTGAGAAGCCGGGGACTTGGCGGTCGACTCTGCATTCCCAGGAGGTGCTGAAATCACTTCATCGGTACTACAGCAATGCTATCACTGATGCTGACAAGCAAGATGCCATCAACCTGTGAGTACTGAAGTGGCAGATTTAGTCTCAGCACAGCACAGCACTCTCACGCCACTCCCATTGATGTATATCGCGAGCGATGGGCGATGCGCAGGCACTGATTATGGCCGATGCACTCTTCTCTCCCCTCCTCCCTGCTTGCCCCTGCCCACATGCTGTTTGTGATCAGCAGCTTCCTTGGCAATGGTACTTGCGTGTCCTTCCTTCCTCCCCCCTCCCCCCTTCCCTCCCTCTCCGTCTCTCCTTATGTGCCGCCAGATTTCTCGGTCGCTTCCAGCCGTGGTTGGGCCAGGCAGTATTCTGGGGCTCAATCTTTGATTTTCAAGAATCAGCACACCAACCTTTGCCCTTCCTTCCCCCCAACTTCTACTCCCACTCCCTCTCTCCCACATACCAGCTTCCTGAGTCAGTTCCAGCCGAGGTCAGGCCAGCCACCCATCTGAGAGCTGGGGTCAGACCAGCACCTACATGGAACCCCAGGCAAGGGCGTACAGCCACTTCATCTCTCACTGCCCTTTCCCCCTCCCTTTTCCCTCCCCTGCCCCTTTCGTTCCCCCTTTCTTTCCCACGTGCCAGCTTCTTGGGTCACTTCCAGCCGCGGGCAGGCCAGGCAGCAATCTGGGAGCAGGGGTCGGACCAGCACCTGCACGGAACGCACACGGCCATGCTTGCCTCCCCTCCCCCCCCCCCTCTCCCTCCCTCTCCTGTACTCTCCGCCAGCTTCTTGGGTCACTTCCAGCCACGGGCAGGGCAGGCAGCCATCTGGGAGCTGGGGTCGGACCAGCACCTGCACGGAGCCACAGGGAGGAGCACACAGCTGCTTCATCTCACGCCACTCGTCCCCCTTCTCCCCCCCCCTGTGCCCCCTCCCTCTCTTGTTACGTGCTGCCAGGTTTTTGGGCCATTTTCAGCCAAGGGCAGGCCAGGCAGCCATCTGGGAGCTGGGATTGGACCAGCACCTGCATGGAGCCACAGGGAGGGGCATGCTTTATGTATCTCACACTGCTCTTTCCCCCTCCCCTGCCGCTCCCACCCACTCCCTCTCTCGCACATGCCAGCTTTCTCGGTCACTTCCAGCCGTGGGCAGGGCAGGCAGCCATCTGGGAGCTGGGGTCGGACCAGCACCTGCATGGAGCCACAGGGAGGGGCGCGCAGGTGGGGGAGGTGGGGGTGGAACAGGGGCAGCTGAGTGGAGGGAGGGGAGTGGAGGGGGGTGGAATGATGGGAGCAGCAGCCATGCCGTCTGCTTCCTTCTCTCCCAGCCTCGCGTCCCTCCCTGATGTGTCCGATGCACCGTCTCCTCCCATGGACCTCTCGCTCCTCCCCTCCCACGTGTGAGTTACCTGTTCACTGTGGCTGCCCTCCCGACATGCTCCCCTCCCATGCGTATGTCACGTGTTTCCTATGTCTGGCTGCCCTCCCGCTTTGCTTCCTTCTCGCCCAGCCTCGCATCCCACCCTGATGTGTCCGATCCGCCTCCCCCTCCCATGGACCTCTCGCTCCTCCCTTCCCATGTGTGAGCTCCGTTCCCTCTTCCCATGTCGTTTCTATCAGCTCATACAAGCTTGCTCCCTCACCCCTCCCATATGCCTCATCTGTCAGATGCCCCCTCCCATGACAGAGAGGTCTCCTTCCCATGGACATCTCCCATGGCCTCTCTCTTATCCGCCACCACGTGTTATTTACTTGTTCCCTTGACTATTGGGTTCTAAAAATTCCCCCCCTAATTTCCGAATGCACCTCACCCTTATCTTGCCCCTCACCCTCCCATGGCCCCACCCCGAACTCAGCCCCTCACGCTTCCCCCCCCTCTTTCTTTAAGACGCCTCAAAAGCCCTCCTCCCTCCCCCCACACTCGACCCCACTGCTTACAGGAGATTTTTGTGGCACCTAAAGGATCATCCCCTGTTGCTCCCTCCCTCCCTCCCTCTTCTCCCTCCTCTCCCCCTATGCAGACCCCTTTGGCTGCCCTCCCCTCCTCCCCCTCCCTCTCCCTCTCCTCCTGCTCCCTCCTCCCGCCTGTCTCTCCCACCCACCTCACTCAAGCTCACCCCCCTCGACGGACTGCTGGGGGCAGACGCTGCAGCAGCAGGGCCGAGGGACAGCTTATAATATTTTCTCCCGTTTCTCCCTCCCTCACTCCCCCATACAGGCCCCTGTGGCTGCCCTCTCCTCCTCCGCCTCCCTCTTCCCCTCCGTCTACCCACGCCCCCTCCACCCGCCCCTCTCCCCCACCCGCCTCACTCAAGCTCACCTCCTTTGACCGACTGCTGGGGGCAGGCGCTGCAGCAGCAGGGGGGGGCACAGCTGTGCGAGTCTACCCTGAGAACAGCAGGGGGAGTGGCAATCAGGGTGGTAGTTTGGGGCAGGAGGGCGGCGACAGGGGTGTGCAGGATTGGAGAGGTGTGCGAAGCGGTGTGAGGGATGGTGGAGAGGTGGGAGGTGGTGGAAAGGGATTGGGGAGGGGAAGAGGTGGGGAGGTGGTTAACCCGACGGAATGGGCTGGGGAGTTGAAGGAGTGTGGGTATGTGTTTCTGCACGAGCTCTCTCCAGATACTCCCCACAGTTCTGCTGCTGCTGGGGTTTCTACTGGTCCATGTGCTGCTGATGCAAAGGCTGCGTATCCGGCATTGCGGAGGGATGGAGGCGAGGCGAGTGCATTGCACCTAGCTCATGCATGCATGGACGGGTCATCCTGGCACTTCTACCAAAGGTGACGCTCCGTGCCATTCCATGCCATTCCATTCCATGCTATTTCATGCCATGCCATGCCATGCCATGCCATTCCATGCCATGCCATGCCATGCCATGCCATTCCATGCCATGCCATGCCATGCCATGTCAGGCCATTCTCTTCCATGCCATGCCATGCCATGCCATTCCATGCCATGCCATTCCATGCTGTTGAAGCCGAGGGTACGCATGCACCATGAGAGTGCCTTGTACCTGGCACATGCATGCATCGTGGCACTTCCATCAATGGTGACAGGCCATGCCATACCATGCCGTGCCACTCCATACAATGCCATACCATGCCGTGCCACTCCATACAATGCCATACCATGCCACGCCATGTCATGCTGCACGATGTCATGCCATGCGACTCCATGCCACACCATACGATGCCACTCCATCCCATGCCATCTGAGGGCATGACCCATGGCAGGGCATATATAGGTACACCCTTCATTAACCTCTCTGTACTCATCAAACTCAATGCACCCCTCATCACCACTCTGCATGCCATTCCTTCTCTTCCCTCTCGCAATCACCACACCAACACCAGTTACCTCGCATCCATCCCTTCCCTCATCCCCGGCAACACCCTGCCATTCGGAATGGGTGAGGGAAAACACAAGGTTCAAGAATATCTCCCCTCCCTCTACCCCAAAATCTCTCCCTTGACCCACCCCGTGCACCCACCAGCTACCTCGCATCTGTCCCTCCCTCATCCCGTCAACACTCTGCCTTCAGAGCGGGGTGAGAGGGAACACGAGGTGACTTCTGAGTCGGCTCAAGAACCTCTCCCCTCCCTCTACACCAGATTCTCTCCCCTCTCTCCCGTCCCCCTGTACCTCCCAGCTACCTCACATCCGTCCCCTCCCTCATCCCCGGCAACACCCTGTCTTCTGAGGGGGACAAGGGCGCACATGCACACAGGCAGGCCGGGCCGCAGGGAGCATGGCCTCTGGAGCTGCAGGTGGGTCACTGCGTAGCGGTGGAGCAGGGAATGGGCCTTGCTTTTGGGGGCAGTGAGGGCGCACACGCACACAGGCAACAGGCAGGTCGGCATGCAGGGAGCATTTCCATAGATTTTGGGGAGCATCGCCTTTAGATCTTCAGGTGGGTCGCTCTCAGACACTCAGGTGCGTTACAAGTTCCAAGTCTCCCACTCTACCATTAATGCTTGGCCACCGTTGTCGTACCTCCATGCTGTTATCATATCTTCAGGCGCATGCGCATTCATCCCATTGCATGCATTCCCTCCTGCGCATTCCTCTCGGTATCGCTTCAGGGCTATGGGACAGTCACCTCGCATTCCAGTCAACTCAAATGTGCTCCCCTCCCCTTCCCACGCCCCCTCTCTCCTCTCTCTCCTCCTGTTGCCACTTGTTCTTCCCTCCCCGGTCTACTGCAGGGCTTTGGTGCACTCAACAGTCTTGAAAATACAAGAGGAGGAGGCAGGGAGGGGCCACGGTTGGATGAGATGCTGGGAGGGTGGGCCGTGGCAGAGGCAGCAGTGGAAGATGCGAGGAGAGCAGAGGAAGCAGAGGAGGTGGTGAGGAGGGAAGCGGAGCTTTTGGGTGGTGATTATGGGGTGAGTGTGCCGCATGTGCTGCCTGCAGTGGTGTGTGCTGGGCTCATGGATGGGTGGGTGGCACAGAGTCAGGCTGACATGAGAGCACCCTTCCAGCTGTTGCCTTATTGAGTTGCAACACCACGCCATAAATGTGGCTTGCACAGTGCCTGTATAATCTGTTTGCTAAGGGTACATTCCGCTGTGGACATGTCCCAATCGTACATGTCCCAATCGGGTGTACCGCTCCGAACCGAACTAAACCAGAGAAGCGAAAATTTTGAAACTAGGGTGTAATTCGGTGTAATAAGATGCAGTGCGGTAGAATCGATTGGGACACATCGATTGGGACGCATGTCCACAGCGGAATGTACCCTAAGAGAAAAAAACATGCACGTCTTATCAGAGGAATTCTTTTCAAGCACACATGTTTTATAATACAACATACCGTAAGTAGTTTGTTTCATGAGTTATAGACTGAACACATTTTCTGTGTTTGCAGAACTGACTGTTCATGACAGCTTGGCCACTTATGTGGACAAGGACGCAAACGGCCCCACCCACTTTACAATTCTCACACACCACCACTCTCACCGCTTAGGTATGAAATTTGGCGATCATAGCGATTCAACACTGCCTCTCCTCAGCACACTTGCATCACATTGTCACCCACAACTGCAGCTCCTTCAGCACTCCCACCGGTTGGCCTCCTTGCTGGACCCACAGCTGTTGCGAGACGCAATCTCTATGCCTCCCCACTGCTGCTGCTGCTCCCACAGTCCCACTGCCTCTCCTCATAATGCATAGATCTGATAAAGGTAAAATGCTAACCAGCCAGCACACTTACATCACCCATCCACCAGTTACAAGTGTGGATGTGGTATGCTATTTCAACCCGCATGCATCACCCATCCACCCACAACTGCAGCTCCTTCAGCAATGAAGCCTTGCTCTCCATGCTGGCCCCACAGCTGTTGTGAAACGCCACCACCTCCCCCCTATGCTGCTGCACCCACTGCCTCTCCTCACACACTAGCACACTCGGCGGAAACAAAAACGCAGGCAAAATCCCAATCGTGATTCCTTCGCCACTTGCCCCTTCGCCTGCCCCTTCAGCTGCCCGTTCACCTGCCCGTTCGCTTGCCTGTTCACCTTCCACCACACGTGCAATGGCATGGTTAAGAGCACTCTGCACGGCCACTGACAAGGCAAGGGGTGTGCTCTCACTATCCCCCTCCGCCTTGTTTGAAAGAGACGGTTCTTTGGACAGAGCCTTGAATGCTTGTAACCCCCATGAGAGGGCGAGAGCATGAGTGGAGGAGGTTTGAGCAGGGGTGGCGGAAGGAGAGGAAGGGGGTTGAGTGGAGGAGGAGGGAGAGAAGGGGCGGAGCAGCAACAACCAGGGAGAGAGAGAGCCAAGGTGGGAGCGGTTGAGAGGGGTGGGAGCGGTGGTGTCGAGAATTGGGGGGGTGGAGGAGTGGGAGGTGGAGGGGAGGATGACGGAGAAGGTAGCTGGGAGGAAAGGCAGAGGGTTGCGAAGCCATGCAGTTGACGGGTCACTGACGTGGGCGGTGGTGGGAAAGGAGGGATTGTTTAGTTGGCTAGAAGAGAGAGAGAAGGGAATGTGCCACTGCCAGGGAAAGTAGGTAGGGGGTTGCGAAGGCATGCAGTTGAAGGATCGCTGGTGTGCGTGGTGATGGGAAAAGGGAGAGTTTCATGGGGTGAAAGGGAGAAAGAAAGGTGAAAGAGACTGGAAGAATTATTGATTTACATACACATATATATGTATACATGTACACATACGTAACCATATGCATTTAATGTGTGTGCATGTATACATGAATATATATACATTATATATATAATATACATATTAGTGTGTGTGTGGAAGGAATGAAGTATGAGAGGAAGGGAAGTGGAATGGATAGAGCTTTGAGACTCCTCCAAACTCACTTTGCGCTGGCTGAAGGAATGAAGGGTGAGCGAAATGGAGAGAGCAAGAGCTATGGACAAGAGACTCAAGGATGTGATATTCGTTGCCACACCACGTGGGCAATATAAATGCCAGCTGAACCAGCCATTGCAACTGCCAAAAAATCGATTTGAGAATATACATGATAAATGAAGGTTTTGCAGTTTGCCAATGAAGAGCATAAGGGAGACACCCACCTCAACCGCACCACACCCACCTCAACCGCTGCACACTCACCTGAACAGCACTGAGATGTTGGCAGCGAGGAGGCGCGAGGCCAGCAGCGCCGGCATGAGCAGACACGCTAGCCTGTCCCGCTCCTCCACCTTCTCTCCTCCCTTCTCCTCACTCCCACTGCCACCAGTTGACGCAGCAGAGGTGGGCTGGCGAATGACATGGTTGGCAGGGGCGTTAGCAGGTAAAGGTACCTGAACGAAGGGTGCAGCGGGGTGGGGGGGCGAGCAGGGGATGTTGTAGCATTTCTATACAGTATTAATAGGCTGGAACATGAGGTGTAGTTGCTTATTTTAGGCGCGTCGCAACAGGGGGGGTGGGAGAAAGCGCATTAGGTGTGCGATGGGAAACGGATAGAAGGGAGGATGGAAGAGCAGATATACTAGGGTCACTTCTGAGAATCCTCAATCATGAAAAGCAGATGGGAGAAGAAGGCACCTGGAAAAAGGAAGGGGAATTCGGGCTCTTGAGCATGCCTGTGTATGGCGAGGGATTGGAGCATGGCTATAAGAGTTTGACCAGACCAGAAACACACCTGGCTGGCAACAGAATCACACCTGGCTGGCAACAGAATCACACCTGAATAGCAACAGAAGCAAACCTGACTGGCAACAGAGGCAAGGAAGTTGGTTGAAAGGCCGAGCTTTGAAATGGCCCCCAGCCAACTCATGAACAGGTCCGATTCGCTTGCTGTGCCCATCTCATGCCATGCCACGCCATGCCATGCCACGCCATGCCACAAGGAGCAATCGAATCACAGGCATGTGTCGGCATGGGAAGGAAAGAGGGAAAAAGAAAAGCAGGTGATTATATGAGAGTGATGCTGTGATGAGATGAGAGTGATGCTATCATGAGATGAGAGTGATGCTGTTTGGGCAGCTTGAACCTACGTGTCGTGCCACGTGTGTTTTTGAAGATTAAAAAAAAAAAAAAAAAACAGAACGGCGAGAATCGTTCAGACTCGAGAGTGATTTGAGGCGTCTCAAAGCACTTCTTCTATCAGAATCAGATTCGAGAGTGATGCATGTTAACAAGAGTTGTGTGTTGGCCCCGTCCTCGCTTGGGCGGAGCCAACTTCGTTGTCGGGTGAAGGGGAGCGCAGCCGACCTGCAGCAGTTGGCCGACGCCTTCCTAGGCGCCTGGGCGGCGTCCTGTGCGTCGCCGACCTAGGCGTCCTGGACGCCAGCCTGGGCACCTGGACGTCGGCCTAGGCGCCTGGACACCGTCCTGGGCGTCCGGACGCCGGACAGGGCGTCCGGACGCCGATCTAGGCGTCCTGGTTGGCCGGTCAACCGAGTTACACGGGCGACGGAGTATTGCGGAGGTGCGCGACGGTCACCCAGGTATTCTTGGCAAAGCCGACCTCGGTGTGGTATCCTGAGCTCGACGTGGAGGATCAGATGCAGTCATGGGCGCATGGTCAGCTTGGTGTCTACGCTGTCAAGGTGATGAGGCACAAAACGCCAACAAGCTGCGACATCTGCGAAGCAGGTGCGCTGCTGTCCTGCGGGTGCAACGCTGTGCAGCCGCCTTGCTGCAGCGTTGGCACGCCGTCGACTTGCAGCGTTGGCAGTCCATTGTTGCTCGCGTTCTGACCATTGTTGTCAACTTTTGCTAGTGAAACTCTTGCAAAATCTCCCCGTGAATGTGCAAGCAGTGAACACACGAGCAAACGACTAAGGAACGAACGCAGAGATCACCCCTAACACCCCGTGCCTAGCCCGCGGTCTAGCTCCCGTTGCTAGAGAAATCTCCGCAATGGAGGCAGCTCGGAAGTTGGAGCAACCATGCAGCATGGAGCCACGTGTTGCGCCACCTACAGGTCGTTACCCGCTGGTCGTTACAACCAACACAACATATTTGCTTGCCACATGTACATATGTGCTCTCAACCACCTCAAAACACACATGCACTACAAATGTTGGCCCTCCCACCCACCTACCCATCCAACCACCCACCCACCGCCCACCCACCACCCACCCACTATGCCCATACCATGGCAGAGCACGGTGAGAATGAGCGGCCCACCCCTCGCAACTCTAGGTGCCATTTTCACCACCACATCCACATGTAACAATACCCACTCGTTTTGAGGCGCGTAAACAATAAGCTCACCCACCCACCCACCCACCCACCCACCCACCCACCCACCCACCACTATGGCAATACCATGGCAGAGCACGGTGAGAATGAGCGGCCCATCCCGGGCCACACCAGGTGCCACTTTCAAGACCGCATCCACATGTGACGGCACCCACTCCGCCACTCCCATCAGCCTCCTCTCCATCTCCTCCTCCCCTTCCTCGCCTTCCCCACCAGAAGCAGCAGCAGCAGCAGCAGCAGCACCAGCACCAGCAGAACCATCACCACCGCTGCTACTCCCACCACTCCCTCCCTCTCCCTTGCTCTCCTCCTCTCCCTCTGGCGCCGGCGGCGGTAGCAGCCACACCCCAGCCTCAATCAACCTCTCGATTTTTTTCCGCTTCCCCACCACATAGTTCGCATGCACCATCACCACCCCCGGCTTCAACCCCAAAAACCCCATCATGTCATTCTGCATCAACTCGCCCGACGGAAATTTCTTCCCGGGCAACACGCCAATATTCGCCTCAATTCCCCGCTCTCTCATAATCTTGATCACATTGAGTAAATGGTCCTGGTCTAGCCCGATTTCATGCCCTCTCGCCACCATGCTAAATGCCCACATGGATGCGAGAGCCTTAGCTCCGGCGGACGTTCGGAAGAAGAGGAAGCAGGAGCACATGACCATGGGAAGGCCCGGCTCGGCCAGACTAACCGTGTGATCTGGGCCGTTCGTCCAGGCTTGATCTGCGGTGATGAACACGTCGAATTCTTTTGGCGGAGGAGGAGCAGGAGGGGATGTGGGGTCGGGTGAAGGGGAGGCAAGCGAGGAGAGGGGAGCAAAGAATGGGAGGGGGTTTTGCAGGAGAGCGATGTCGATATCGGAGTAGAGGACGGAGAAGCCAAAGGCGAGGAGGTGCAGGATGTAGACGGCCCTGCGGGATGCCACTCGGTGAAAGCCGGCCGAGTTGATCCCGATGGCTTTTGACACGTCTACGTTCTCGTCCTCGTGCACAAACTGACCCTCCAAATCCAGCAGAAGGGCCTGTGGGGTGGGGGGAATGGAGGGGAGAACAGCAGCAGCAGCAGCAGCAGCAGCAAAAAAGGAGGAGTAGAATAAAGCGACTGAGTAGAGAACAGAGAAGCCGAAGGCAAGGAGGTGCAGGATGTAGACTGCCCGGCGGGATGCCATGCGGTGAAAGCCCGCTGAGTTGATACCTATTGCTCTGGACACATTCATGCCCTCGCTCTCGCTCTCGCTTGTGCATGAACTGACCCTCCAAGGCCAGCAGAAGCTCTGCCTGTCCGCAGCAAAGATGATGTAGTGCCCGCCCAGGCCTGCATTTCCCACAGCGACTCTTGAGTCCACTCAGAACCCACCTGCCCGGGCCATTTCTTGTTGGCATAGTCAAAGCTCTGCCTCTCCGCAGCGAAGATGATGTAATGCCCTCGCAGCCCTGCCTTTCCTGCAGTGACTCTTGAGTCCACTCATAAAAGAACCCGCCTGCCACATCCATGGCTCAAAACCCACCCACCTGCCCCGGCCATTTCTTGTTGGCATAGTCAAAGCTCTGCTTCTCCGCAGCAAAGATGATGTAGTGCCCTTGAAGGCCCACTTTGTCCGCGTGTAGTGCCCAGTTCTCCAGCATCTCCTCGTAGCCTGCTTGTGGCAAAGGAGGGGGGAAAAGGGGGGGGGGGGGGGGGATGGGCGGAAAAGAGGGGTTTCCGAGTTGGCCCAGGAAGGAGCGCGCAGCCCCACTTTGTCGGCGTGTAGTGCCCAGTTCTCCAGCATCTCCTCGTAGCCTGGTTGGGGGAATGGAAGAGGGGGTGAGTGGGGATACCAAACCTTGAGCGGGGGAAGGGGTAGGGGAGAGAGCGCAGCCCCACTACGTCCGCATGCAACGCCCTGTTCCCAAGCGTCTCCTCGTAGCTTGGGGAAAGCAGGAGGGTGGGGAGGGGGACGGTGGGGTTGGGGGATTCAGAGGGTCAGATAGAATCTGCTGAGGAAAGCACAGTGTCTCTTCGTAGCCTGCTGGGGGGAAGGAGAAGTGGGGTGAGGGCGGGGGGAAGATGCGATACGATTCGATTCGATTTGATGAGATACGATACGATACGATACGATAAGATACGATGCGATGCGATACGATACGATGCGATACGATATGATACGATACGATACGATTTGACACGATACGATATGGCACAATACGATATCATGCCAGACAACTCGCCTGCATTGGCGACTCGCCTGCATTGGCGACTCGCCTGCGTTGGCGGAGACGATGACGACAGTCCCGTTGACCGCCACGAGGCTCGCCATGTCCCACAGCGGTGCCAGCCTCGCGTGCATGTCACCACCGCCCTCCCCCAGTTGCCGCCTCCCTCCACCCGGCGCCCACTCGCCATTTCCCGCCAGTTGCCTTGCCTCGGACGGCGTCGACGCGCCCAGAAAAGAACGCCCTCCGCGAATGCGACTCGGCACACGACGCCGATTTTCTGACGTGGCGGAGTGTGATAGGCCGTCGCTACGCGGCGTGTGATCTAGGACCTCGCGGGGCGAGGAGGTGGCGAGGGTTAGGATGATTGGGCCAACATCCCAACCCAGCACGAGGACGAGGGCGAGGGAGGCGAGAAGCAGCGCGGGAATGAGCCGCGAGGGGCAGAGGTGACGAAATTTTTTTGTCGAGTCCGAAATCACCTTCAAATTCGTCGGGTAAGGTACTACTGTTATGCGGCGGGGAGGGCAAAGAGTCGATGGCGCCGATGAGTATGATAAGGAGGATGATGATAACGAGGATGATGATAACGAGGATGATGATAGCGATGATGAGGATGACGACTCCAGGGGAGCTACGGCTGCTGCTTCCATGGTTGCTCGTTTGCTCGCTAACGTGACGTCGAACGGTCTCGAAGCGACGACGATCAGGCTGTTATTGAATCAGCGCGCCGCGACGCGACCATGTGAGCAAACTGGCCAGAAGCCCATTAACCGAGTCGGTGAGTTTTGGGAGTGTTGAACTGACATCGACGGGCATTAGTCGGAGTTCCTCGCTGCATGTGTTGTTTAGAGACAGCCCGCCTGGCGCGAGTCAGGGTTGCGCTGGGCCCATTCGCGGGCTCGATCCGAGCTTATTTCGACCCTACTTTGATTATACGTAACTGCAATTCGGGAGACCCTATCTGCCCCCTGACGAGATGCTTGCTACTCGACAGTGCAGTCACGGCGCTAGCTTTCCCTCCTTTCTCCTTCCCCTTTGAAGGAATATTATGGAGAGCACTACGACGGCGAGAGAGATTCTGCTTATGGGAATGATGTTGCGCTAGGAATTCGGTAGCGTTTGGGTAGCGTTGGTCTCAAATGACTAAGTGAGAATTTGAGTAGAGATTGGACTTCACTAGGAAAATAGAATATATGAAACACACAAGCAAACACAAACATATAAAGGCAAGCAAGCGTTCACAAAAGGTAGCGAGGGCGCTGCGAGTAACCCAACCCACACGAAAGTGCTGTGGGAGTTGGCGAACGCGCCCCGCCAAACTTCCATCCAACTCAGCAGCGAAAACCTTCCGAGCACGCAACTCCATCCGACTCAGCTTGGGAGTGGCGTGCCTCATAAGGAAGCACACAAAGACTCCCACGACTCTACTTCCCAGCACCGACTTCAGCAGATTCCTTACTGCAGCTCGCATTCACCCGTAGTCACACTTGACTGCCATCGAACCTGTGCGACGGTGCCGAGTAGACCAGGTCGTCGGTCGTCAACCTGCCAAGTCTAACATTTCGCGAGGGCCCTTGCTGTCGTAGGGCCCTCTAACACTCCCCTGCCATACTACAGCAAGGCCCTTTATAATCACAGGGCATGCATAAACACATACACACCAAACAAAGGGAAACACACACAAACGAAGCACTCTCAAAGTGCAAACACGCACCGCACCAGCCATGGATAGGCCATGGCACCATCCACATCACGGAGTGTCTAGGTCTCACTCCCCTCGCTCGAGAGCCTCACCTGCCCCACAGCCTCGAAGCAACGACTGAAGGCGGGGAAATGCAATGCCTTGGTAAGGTAGTCAGCAGGCTGCTCGCTCGTAGGGATGTACTGCAGCTGCAGCTTCCTGCGCTTGACCATGTGCTGCAGCCACATGTGACGACGCTCCATGTGCTTGAGGCTCCCCTTGAGCCCCATGCCACCTGCCACTGAAATGGCGGAGGAGTTGTCCACAAAGAGAGTAGTGGGAACCTCACTCCTCAGCAGTTGAAACTCTGCCAGCAGGAAGCGCAGCCGACGCGCCTCCTTCCCCGCCTCCACAGCAGCAACGTACTCAGACTCAGTGGAAGAGAGGGTGGCGCAACGAATCCTCTGGCTCGCCCACGAGACAGCAGCACCTCCGAGCACGAAGACATAGCCACCAGTGCTAGTCCTGTTCTGCTTGTCTCCCGCATCATCCGCATCGGCATAGCCCACCAGCTCCAAGGACTCAGGCCCACCACCAAACTCCAGCGCAACATCCCTGCTCCCCACCAAGTACGCCAAGCACCGGTCCAACTCCTTCCAGTGCTGGTCACTCCGCACAGTCTGGCCTGACCCCAGCTTGCTGCAGGCAAAGGAGATGTCGGGACGAGTGGTACAGGCTGCGAACTGCAAGGATCCCACCTTCTGCCTGTACTCCTCCTCCTGGCGAGACTGCCATCCCGCATCCTCAAAGGTCTGCACACTGAAAGGGTCAGAGGAAAGGGGGGTGCGAGGCACTCGCAGCGGCTGCTCCCCGTCGAAGAAGCGCCTATGGACCTTGTCCACGTAGGCCCCCTGGTGCAGCCACAGCCTCCTCGTAGGCCTGTCCCGAATCAGCTGCAGCCCCAGGTACTTCTCCACAGGGCTAATCTCCCGCAGCTGAAACGCACTCTGCAGCAGCTCACGTAGCTCCCCCAGCATGCTCTGACTGCGGCTGGCAGCAAGCAAATCATCCACATACACCAGCAGCCAGCACATCTCCCCGTCAGCATCACTCTTGAAGTACAAAGCCTCATCCACTTTGCTCTTCTTCCATCCAGCCCCAAGCAGCACCCCATCCAAGGCCTCATACCACAGCATCGGGCTTTGCTTGAGGCCATACAGACTCTTCAACAACTTACAGACACGAGGAGTCCCATCCTCGTAGTAGCTCGGCTGCTCCATGTACAGGTCTCGGTCCAGCACGCCATGGAGGAACGCATTCTTCACATCTAGCTGCATCAGCTCCAAGTCAAGTGCAGCTGCGATCGCCAGAAGTACGCGCGCCGTCACATAGCTTCCCACGGGGGCGTACGTCTCCTCATAGTCCACCCCTGCCACCTGCGTGAACCCCTTCACCACCAGCCGCGCCTTCTCACGCTCCACTACCCCATCAGGTCGGAACTTGGTGTTCAGGATCCAGCGGTTCTTCATCACATTCACCCCTGGCGGACGCGGAACCAACTCCCACGTCCCCTGCTCAATCAAGCTCCGCATCTCCTCATCCATCGCCTCCTTCACCTTGTCGCCCTTCCAGCAGCCCAAGGCCTCCTTCACTGTCATCTTCGCTATATCCCACTGCCTCTCAGGGTCAGCCACCACGTCAGGGTCCAGGTCCGTCCACTCTTCGTCCTCCTCCTCGTCATCCAATCCCGCCGGCTCAATCACTAAAGCCCAAGCATACTTAAGAGGCGGGATACCACGGGTGATGCGAGTGGAGCGACGCAGTGGCGCAGTGATCGTCCCAGAAGCCAACACACGACCACCATCTCTGATTCCCCACAGCTCCTGCTCCCCTGTCTGCGGCTCCCCTGTCTGCTGCTCCCCTAGCTGCTGGTCCACCATCTGCTGCTCCTCAATCTGTTCCTCCCCTATCTGCTGCTCCCCACTCTGCTGCTCCCCTAACTGCTGCTCCCCTATCTCCTGCCCCCCACTCTGCTGTACTCCATCCATGCTGCTCTCGTCCTGCAGCTGCTCAGTCTCAAGGCGCTGCCCGTCGGTGATCTCCACAGACGGTGGCACCACGATCCCCCCCTCACCAACGGGCGGCGCCGTGGAAGATGAAGAGGAGGGTGGAGCAGGTGCAGGAGGGATGGAGGGTGGAAGGGGAGAGGGAATAACAGGAGGAGGAGGGGAAGCCAAGGGGGGTGAGGATGAAGAAGGTGGGGCAGGGGGAACCACACGAGGGTAAACTGAAGGCGGAGGTGGGGTGGGGACCGAGGTAGGGACATAGGGCATAGCAGGAGGTGCGACCACCTCCTCCTCCTCCACCGCCTCCTCAAGAGTGATCGGGAAGTGAGAGGGAAGGGGCTCATAGGGCATTGGACGCCCCCCATGCTCTTGCCGATGCCACGCCTTCCATCCTGCCAAGGACATGGTCTCATAGAACACAGCTTCCACAGTGGTGATGAGGCGGTTGGACTCCAAGTCCAGCACGGTCCAGCCCTTGCTCGCTGCGGACACCCCCAAGTGCAACCCCCAGCGAGCCTTAGGTGCCAGCTTCCCCCCCCGCTGCGACTGAGGCAACATGTACTGCACCATGCAGCCCCATACCCGCACCATACTGACATCGGGTTTGTGTCGAAAGGCGAGCTCGTACGGCGTCACACCAGAGGGCAGCGAGGCGTGCTCCACGCGGTTGCGCACCCAGACGGCCTGCGCCAACGCCAGGTGCCACCAATGATGCTGTACACCCATGTGCAGTAGCATCGTCCGCACCGCCTCCACAATGCTGCGCATCTCCCTCTCGGCCATCCCGTTCTGCTCCGGCGTGTACGGGCACGTGAGGTCATGGATGATGCCTTTGCCGTCGAGGAAGAGCGTGAAGTCATGCCCCAGGAACTCGCCACCCCGATCAGTGCGCAGCGCCTGCACCGTGGTCTTGCACTGCCGCTCTGCCATCGGGAGCCACTTCTGAAACGCCGCCAGCGCATCACTCTTCTGAGCCAAAGGGTAGGCCCAGACGTACCGCGACTTGCGATCCTTCAGCACCAGGAAGTAGCGGCTGCCGTCCTTAGCTGTTTCACGGAAAGGGCCACACAGGTCAGCATGCACCACCCCAAGCAACTCATCCTCCTCCGCACCCACTGGCGGGAAGGTATGACGAGTGATCTTCCCCCCAACACAGGAGACACACGGTATGCCTGATTTGCCCCCCTTCTCCAGGTCCAAGCCCTTCACTGACCCGTGAGACGCAGTGCGCTCGATGGCATCAATACCAACGTGTGCCATACGCGCATGCCACATGTCCACCTTAGACCGCACGCCCGTCGTCAAGGTACGAAGTGCCACCGTTTCGCCTTCCTGCTGCTGCGACAAACACGGTTGGAAGTTCGTGCAGAGAACACGCCCCTTGTACTCTGCACGCCCAAGAAGTGACCCATCTGGTGCCCGCAGCAGAGTCACGTCGCCTGCATCCAGCAGTTGCACACCACTATCACGCAGCTGCCCAGCAGAAAGAAGACTCGCCTGCACTCCAGGTACGTACAGCACGTCAGACACCAAGAGACGCCTGCCCCCTTCTCCAAGAAGAGCGACTGTGCCTCGCCCCTGCACGTCCTGAAGCGCGCCGTTGAAGCCTTTCACTTGTTTGATACTACCGCCGCTGCTCATCTCCACAAAGGCAGAACGATCTCCCATGAGATGGTGGGAGCATCCACTATCAAGTAGCACGACGCTCGGGTTCGCCTTCACAGCAGCTGCAAGAGCCTGTAAGCCCTCCCCGGCCTCAGGCTCCAGCACGACAAGAGGAGTCTGCTCTACAACGGGCTTCACCATCGCACATGATGACTGCCTGCTCCCCTTAGAGCCATCGTCCCCCTTGCCACTCGCGCCGCTGCCTCCAGAACCCTCTCCACCCGTGTCTGCCTCCTTATCCGCCCGCTGCTGACAGTACTTAGCAACATGCCCTGTCTGTCCACACACGTAGCACTTCCCCTTGAAGCCACCTTTCCCCCCCTTTGGCGGACCATCCTTAGCCCCTTTCCACTTCTCTCCTCCACCTCCAACCCCACCCCCAGTCTTAGGCTGCTGCTGCTGTGCCGTAGTGGGAGGGGAAGGGGATGAAGTCTGCTGGGATTGGGGCTTACCCTTCTTGGTAAAGACCTGGTTGGCCTGGGGAAGAAATTGGTCCTTCCGTCCCTCCGCTGCCAGCGTACACTCCTCCTCGATAATGTAGCTAGCGAGGGTGTCCTCGTCCAACTCCTTGCGTACCTGCGGCAGCTTCAGCATCCTGCGTAAGAGGTTGTACTGCTGCGGCAACCCCTTCACGACGTGAGTAATGTACGACGCCTGCGAGTAATCGACGCCGGCCATCCTCAGGTTCACTAGGATCTGCTGCGCACGGTTGCAATAGGACGTAGCGGACTCGTGCTCACCCATCTCGAGGTTAGTGAGCGCCTGCTCTAACTGACCGATGTACAGATCGTCCTTCGCCATGTACGTGCGCATAATAAACTGCCATGCCTGATAGCCGGCATCTACCTTCATGCGACACCCCTTAAGGGCAATCTGTACGGTTGGGGAGCAGCATCGGGAAATCGTGGTGAACGTCAGTAACTGCATTGCGCGGAACTGAGTGAGATGCGCAACTGCCTGCGTTGGTGGAATAGGAGTGGTACCGTCAATGAATCGCTTTAGTTGAGCGATCTCAAGCTGCGGCTCGATCGATTCTACCCACGTCGATAGGTCGTGGCGTCCTTCGAGCGGCTTAGGCACGACGATTCTGTCTGGAGTGAATTTGAAGTAGCCATAGTTGGGGGCTATTCCCTCATCCCTCGACATCGATCCAATCGGGGTAATGCCCGGCATAGCTCCACTATCGTACTCCTCCGCATTCCCTCCTCCAGCAGCGCTCTGTCGTCCTAAGTTCGTACGCTCGTGTGACGCCGCCGCACGATGAACACGCTCCTGTACACCGCCGACGCTAGTCGTACTAAACCGAGTTGGTCCTCGCAGGACCCCACGCGACATCAGTCCATCAACCTCCTCGTCATCGTCACCTCCGTCATTGACAGCCATGTCCCACGCACTAGTGCCTCCCGCAGCTTGCTCTACATGTGGCGAGGGATGATCGCGACGCTGACGAGAGCGTAATCCCTCCAACATGAGCTCGTAATCTACATTACTAAGCTCGCCACGGGAACGACGTGCCACGAGCTCCTCCTCTAGTGCGCGAAAATTAACGGCCTCAACGTCCGCCTCCTCCGAACTCATCCTCTACGACGCCTCGATAAGGTGCCACAAATTAAAATAAATTGTTCCTTCCTTAAATCCCTCGTCTCGGGGTCACCTCACAAGGGTCCTCAGACGAGTGGTAATAAATTACCAAACGCCCTATCCTTGGGTCCGAGAACGTAACTGGAGGGAAATTAAGAGAGGTTCAACTTAATTTAATATGCGCCCTTCACTAACGCCGCACGCCAAGGCGAGTTTACGAACGCTAAGAAAGTCGACGACGGAATTCTATGCGTGTTCGTTCCACGCTCACCGCACCATGAAGGAATATTATGGAGAGCACTACGACGGCGAGAGAGATTCTGCTTATGGGAATGATGTTGCGCTAGGAATTCGGTAGCGTTTGGGTAGCGTTGGTCTCAAATGACTAAGTGAGAATTTGAGTAGAGATTGGACTTCACTAGGAAAATAGAATATATGAAACACACAAGCAAACACAAACATATAAAGGCAAGCAAGCGTTCACAAAAGGTAGCGAGGGCGCTGCGAGTAACCCAACCCACACGAAAGTGCTGTGGGAGTTGGCGAACGCGCCCCGCCAAACTTCCATCCAACTCAGCAGCGAAAACCTTCCGAGCACGCAACTCCATCCGACTCAGCTTGGGAGTGGCGTGCCTCATAAGGAAGCACACAAAGACTCCCACGACTCTACTTCCCAGCACCGACTTCAGCAGATTCCTTACTGCAGCTCGCATTCACCCGTAGTCACACTTGACTGCCATCGAACCTGTGCGACGGTGCCGAGTAGACCAGGTCGTCGGTCGTCAACCTGCCAAGTCTAACATTTCGCGAGGGCCCTTGCTGTCGTAGGGCCCTCTAACACGACCCTACTTTGATTATACGTAACTGCAATTCAGGAGACCCTATCTGCCCCCTGACGAGATGCTTGCTACTCGACAGTGCAGTCACGGCGCTAGCTTTCCCTCCTTTCTCCTTCCCCCGTCGTTCTTATCGACCTATCGTGCAGGCCCGATGCTTGGGTGAAGGGCGAGAGCCACTGGTTGGGTCCAATGGGCGGTTTGGTTGGGTTGGGAGTGACCCCTTGCCGGCTTGGGCCGTCGCCATTTGAGACGTCTCAAAAGCACTCCCCATGCAAGCCAAGTGTTACCTGAAGATGGCCCCGTTACCACGTTCAGTTTTGCGACTCAGCGAAAACAAAAACCAAGGCGAACTCTCGTCGTTAACATGTCTGAGGGCAGCAACGAAACACACGCAGAAGCCAGACTCTTCGCGGGGGAGAGTCGCCCCACCGTAACTTCGTCAATTTCGCATCACCGCTGTACACTCTAAAAGAGATATAAAACCATCATACGCATGACGCTGGTGTATAGAAATTATGACTGTTTTATAACAATCTTCACAATTTGATCGCAGATAGCACGGCACGGCAAGGATCGATGCAGAAGTTTGTCCTTTTTCCTAGTGCCACCTTCAATCCCATCCACTGATATAAGAGTAGGCTCTATGGTACTGAGTCTCTTAATTGATATAGCATGTGCTTGGCTTGAGATGAAGTAACAAAGTGCATACAAAATTGGCCAGACATTAACATTATTTGTTGATAAGGGCCTCGCCCTACTTTCCAGGTGTACATCACCTTTATCTTGTTGCTGACATTCCTGTAGCGAAACATTGTTTGTCGGTCACCTATTGCTGACGTGTGCAACTGGTGGGAGACGTGAAACCTTGCCCTTGGGTTTTCTTTGGGTGTTAAGGTGGATGGAGTGAGGCAAACGCAACGAACAAGAGAACATAGAACGGTGCGGATGGTAACCCAGCGGTTCTGTTCGGCACACCAAATGTAGATCTGATGGGCCTTTTCCTATCCGTCGGCCGAAACTTGTCGGATCGCCTCGTGAAAATATCTGGCCGTCCAATTCTCCTCGTCACAACTGTCTTCACTTTTTTCTCAACCGAAGTTCGCCTCCCAGTCTTCCCTCCATCCCTTCCCACCAAACCCTGGTTCTGCCGCACCACCCACACGCTCCATGCCTCCTACCTATGACCCATTCGCCTCCGTCAAGCTCCTCATTTTCTTTCTTTTCCAGCTTCGATCCATTTTTCTTCCGTCGAGCGGCATCAGCCGCGTTGTCCACTCCAGCCGCGTGCTGGTAGTTAAATACGTAGGTCTAGAATAGGCTTCAGATTCGTGCCTCTGCTTGTCGTGCCGATTTGTTCCGCGCTACTTTACATTTCGACGAATAACTCAGGCGGGGGTGTAGCGGGGTTACACTCGGTGACTCGCACGCGATGGGTGTTCCAGCGTTCTACCGCTGGCTGGCGGACAAGTACCCGTTGATTATAGTGGATGTGATTGAAGAGGAGCCGCAGGTGATCGACGGCGTGACGGTGCCGGTTAACACGGTGGAAGCCAACCCTAACGGCGAGTTTGACAATCTATACCTTGACATGAACGGCATCATCCATCCGTGCTTCCACCCCGAAGATCGCGTAAGTCTTTAAAGACGCTGTAAGAGCGCACACGGTCGAGGAGAAATTTGAACGTCGAACCGCGGGACTTTCCGACGGCGAGTTCGACAATCTGTACCTTGACATGAACGGCATCATATATCCGTGCTTCCACCCCGAAGATCGCGCAAGTCATTGGTAGTAAGCACGGTCGAAGAGAATTGATCAGCGAGCCGCGGGTTTTTCGAACGGTGAGATTGACAATCTGGATAGTGAGATGAACGGCACTATCCACCCGTGCTTCCACCCGAAGATCGTCTAAGCGTTTTAGACGCTGTAAGCGCGAGCATGGTTAAGGAGAAGTTTGAACGGCGAACCGCCAGTTTGATAAATCGTATATTGACATTCACTACATAGTAATTCACCCTGAAGATCGTGTAAGTTCGTCGAGACGCCTTGTGACTTATTTTGAACGGCGATCGCCCTACTCGCGAGGTACCCAAACGTCCAAGTCACCCTAACGGAGCGTTACGCTAACTGCGAGTTACCCTAGTTGGGAGTTACCCTAACTGCGAGTTACCCTAAGTGCGAGTTATCATGTTTGGACATTTGCTGCATCACTCGTCGTTACGTCCTCGCCGACTGCTGCGTCAGTATATTGTGCGATAGATAGTGAATACTGTAAAGGAGAGGCAAGTTTCTCAGTTATTTAAGCAGTTCGCCAATATGTGCCGTAGAACGTGGTTATTTACTCAACGTGATAGCGTTTAGTTAAGTCAAGCTGGTTTCGTTTTGTTAGTGGGACTTGCCCCTGCATCATGAAGGTGTTACCTTTTTTAGGTATTATCTAGTCCTTAGGCAAATTTCACAGCGACTCTTGATGCGTTCTCACTCAATCTCTGCAAAGGCGTAAGCATGGGCATGACTAAAGCGTACCATTTCACAACATGATGACATTACTGAACACATTAAACAAGCGTCGGAAACTTTTTGATGGCATCGCTTGGCCTTCGACCTCCGCCTTCCCTCCCCTCCTCGTTTCCCCTCTGTCCCCTGTCTCGCATGCAGCCGTCCCCCACGACCCTGCACGAGGTGTTTCAGAACATCTTTGACTACATTGACTGCTTGTTTGACTTGGCTCTTTTCCTTCCATCTCCTCCCGTTCCATCCTTTCTTGTCTCTACGCCCTCCGCCTGCAGCCGTCCCCCACGACCCTGCACGAGGTGTTTCAGAACATCTTTGACTACATTGACCGCCTCGTCTACCTGGCTATCTTCCTTTACAATGTCTCCCTCCCCTTTCATCTTGACCCCCCTCCCTTACCTGCAGCCGTCCCCCACGACCCTGCACGAGGTGTTTCAGAACATCTTTGACTACATTGACCGCCTCTTCGCCATGATCCGCCCTCGCAAAGTGCTCTTCATGGGCATTGGTAGGTGTTCCCTGCATTCCTGCTACTTTAGGGGTATTTCTGAGTGTTTCCCGCCACTTTTAGGGGCATTTCTGACTGTTTCCTACTACTTTCGAGTTACTCACCACTGAATCCGAGGCTTCTGCTTGGTGTTCTCAACTCAGAGGGGCGTTGGTGGGTGCCCCTTCGTATATTCTCACTGCCTAACCATCACTGATTGTTCGTTCGCGTCATAAACGCCCCCTGCTGTCATCTGCTGTTCCTTTTCCGGCGCTGTTACTGCAAACGTCGTTGCCCAGCGAGCCGACGTTCGTTTCGACTCAGACAGGCAGTCCCCGCTGTGCTTTTCTGTTCCCTTTGTTCCTTTCCCCGCTGTTCTTCCTGCAGACGGTGTTGCCCCACGAGCCAAGATGAACCAGCAGCGCTCCAGGCGATTCCGAGCAGCCAAGGACGCAGCAGACGCTGTAAGTGACACGTGCCATAACCCTGTACCCGCTAGCCCCATACCCGCTATAGCCCCTGCCATGCGGCTCCTTCTTTCTGTCCGTCCCTTCACTCCAGCGCTCTTCTTCCACAACAGCGCAACAAGGCGCATATAAGCACTGTTTTTTTGTTTTTTGCCCTGCCTTCCTTCTTCTTGGCACGTGCCACTTCTCCCAGACTCCCTGTCAGTCCGAGCTGATCACCCCGTTTTTCCTCCCTGTCTGCCTTCCTACCTGCCTGCCTGCCTCCCTCCCTCTCCCTCACACAGGCAGCAGAGGAGGAGAGACTCAGAAGGGAGTTTGAGCTGGAGGGGCGCATGGTGTGGTGCCGCCCAAGGAGAAGACGGAGACGCACGACTCCCATGTACTCACCCTTTGTTCTCCTCCATACTCCCCCACACAGGCAGCAGAGGAAGAACGGTTGAGGAAGGAGTTTGAGCTGGAGGGGCGCATGGTGCCACCCAAGGAGAAGTCAGAGACGCACGACTCCAACGTCATCACGCCCGGCACGCCCTTCATGCAGCAGCTGTCCGTCGCGCTGCAGTATTATATTCACCTGCGCATCAACCAGGACCCCGCCTGGAAGAATGTTAAGGTGAGACCAGCCAGGAAGAGTGGTGTGGTGGTTTGTGGTTGGGGTTTAAGGGAGGGGCGAGGGTAGGCACGTCCTTCATGCAGCAGCTGTCTGTCGCGCTGCAGTACTACATCCACCTGCGCATCAACCAGGACCCCGCCTGGAAGAATGTTAAGGTGAGGATTTGGCAGGGTTTGGGGCTTTGGTTCAAAGGAAGTGAGTGAGGATAGGGAGAGGGTAGCCACGCCCTTCATGCAGCAGCTCTCTGTCGCGCTGCAGTACTACATTCAGGATCAACCAGGACCCTGTCTAGAAAAATGTTGAAGTGAGGCCTGGGAGGGTGGTGGTTGAGGATTTCGGGTTTAGGCATGCTCGTCAAGCAGCAGTTGGACGGGAGTTGGACGTGATCAGAGGATTCACAATGAGGATAGGGCATCAACAAATTATCAGAGGCAGGACAAGATGAGACTGGAAGATTGGCCAAAGGTGCAGCCCAGGAAAGAAGGAGTGCGGATACAAGCAGGGTCGCCCAACTCTCTGCACCCCCTCTGCTCTCTGCTCTTCCTCTCTCCTCCCCTCCCTTTCCAGCCTCCGACCCTCCTCCCTCATTCGTTCTCCTGCTCGCATCGGCACTCCCCCTTTCCTGGGCTGCACCTCTGGCCAATCTTCCAGTCTCATTCTCCCCTGCCCTCTGATAATCTGCTATATTCACCTCAAAGTTAACCAGGATCCCGCCTGGAAGAATGTTAAGGTGAGGTTCAGGGTTGAGACAAGGTTTAAGGGAGGTTAGCGAGGAAAGAGAGGGAGGGGAGAGGGTAGGCACCCCCTTTATGCAGCAGCTGCCCGTGGCTCTGCAGTACTACACTCAACCAGGACCTTGCATGGAAGAACCTCAAGGTGAGGGTGAGGGAGAATTTTGGCTTTGGGGTTTTAAGGAAGGTCAGCGAGGAGGGAGAGGGAGGGGAGAGGGACGTTTCATGAACTACATTTGCCTGCGGCGGATGTGATGCATCCCCTCTCATCTCATGCCATGCGTCCCCCATACTTGAACTGCACCACACCACCACCACTACCACCAGTAGGTGATTCTGTCAGAAACCAACGTGCCAGGCGAGGGAGAGCACAAGATCATATACTACACTCGCCTCCAGCGGGCCTGATGCCTTTCCCTCCATGCCATGCTGCCCTTGTTGCACCACCATACCACCACCACCAGGCGATTCTATCAGACGCCAACGTGCTAGGCGAGGGAGAGCACAAGATCATGAACTACATCCGCCTGCGGCGGACCTGATGTCTTTCCCTCCATGCCATGCTGCCCTTGTTGCACCACCACACCACCACCATCTCCAGGTGATCCTGTCAGACGCCGATGTGCCAGGCGAGGGAGAGCACATGATCATGAACTACATTCGCCTGCAGCGGACCTGATGCCTCCCCTCTCATTTCATGCCCTGCTGGCCCCATACTATTTGCGCTGTACAACCATCACCATCATCAGGTGATTCTATCCGATGCCAACGTGCCGGGCGAGGGAGAGCACAAGATCATGAATTACATCCGCCTGCAGCGGAACCTTCCAGGCTTCGACCCCAACACACGCCACTGCATCTACGGACTGGTATGTCACTGTTGAGAATTATCACATCACATGTCTGTGGGCTGCTGCTTGTGGTTGCCATTTCTGCTCAAACCTTGCACCCTAACCCTACCGGCTACCACTTTATAACCAGGTCTAGAGCACAGGTTCCAGCACCCCCTCCCTTCAGCCTCGACTCCACTTTGAAACTCTCTTGTACGCCACGCAGATCTGATTGTACTAGCCCTGTCAACACAGGAAGTGCACGTCAGCATCCCTTGCCCCCTTGCCACCGTCTCCCCTCCCTTTCCCGCCTCCTATCCGCGACAACCCCCACACATGCACACATACTTTCGTTTCAATAACACCACACATTTTCCTCCCTGCCTACCACTGTCCCTCTTCCCCTGCAGGACGCGGATCTGACCATGCTGGCCCTCGCAACACATGGATTGCAGTGCACTGAACCATGCTCCCTTGCTATCCCACCTTCTCGCTTTCTCTCATCTTCCTCTTTCAGGATGCGGATCTGATCATGCTCGCCCTCGCAACACACGAAGTCCACTTCACCATTCTCAGAGAGGTCAGTGCGGCTCACCAGCACACTTGACACACTTGACATTGCCTCTAAGGTTCTCAAAGTTGATTCCAGTATCCCAGTCCTTTTCTCCGTTCCCTCGTGACTTGCGCATCCATAACTCCCTCATCACGCAGTGGTATTGCCGTCTACCCATCTCGTACTCCTAATTCCCCGACTGCTCTTTGTTTCCCTACCTCACATGCCATTGGATGACCAAGCAGGTGGTGTTTCAGCCCGGGCAGGTGGAAAAATGTTTTTTGTGCGGGCAGACGGGGCACTTGGCAGCAGAGTGTGAGGGCAAGCCGAAACGCAAGAGGGGCGAGAACGACGAGAAGGAAGGGGGCGTCCCGAAGAAGCCTTTCCAGGTGTGTGTGGGGGGGGTTGACAGGTCGTCCTTTATGGGTGCATGGAGGGAGTGTGAGCCTGTGAGGGCAAGCCGAAGTGCAAGAGGGGCGAGAACGACGAGAATGAGGAAGGCGTGCCCAAGAAGCCCTTTCAGGTGAGGGCGGTGCGTATAAAGGGTGGGGGGGAGGAGTGGGTGGGTTTGCACGGAGGGAGTGTGATGTGAGGGCAAGCCGAAGTGCAAGAGGGGCGAGAACGACGAGAATGAGGAAGGCGTGCCCAAGAAGCCCTTTCAGGTGAGGGCGGTGCGTATAAAGGGTGGGGGGGAGGAGTGGGTGGGTTTGCACGGAGGGAGTGTGATGTGAGGGCAAGCCGAAGTGCAAGAGAGGCGAGAACGACGAGGAGGAGGGGGTTGTACCCAAGAAGCCCTTTCAGGTGCGGGCGGGTGTGATAAAAAGGGGGGGGGGGGGGGGGGGGAGGGAGGGAGGGGAAGAATGGGTGTGCATGGAGGGAGTGTGAGGTGAGGCCAAGCCGAAGCGCAAGAGGGTCGAGAATGACGAGAAGGAAGGGGGCGTCCCGAAGAAGCCCTTCCAGGTGCGGGTGTAAAGTAAATGGGTGCATGGGATGGGAGGGGTGGGGGGGAGGTGTTTGAGGGGAATGGTTCACCCATTTTGGGTGCATGAAATGATAGGGAGTGTATGCAAGGGGGGGGGTGTTTGTGTGACCCCTTGCCCGACTTCACTTCCCAGTTCCCTTCCCTCTGTCTGCTTCTTCCACTGCCCCCTGTCCAGTTGCTGCAGTGCTGGGTGCTGCCGAGTATCTGCAGCTGGAGTTTCGTGTGTCAGGCGTGTGGGACTTGCCTGTTTATTATCCTTCCTGGCCCCTTCTGCTTCTCCCTTGTATTTTACCAAGCACCAGTTGCTGCAGTGCTGGGGGCTGCGCGAGTATCTGCAGCTGAGTTTCGAGTCACGGTGGAGGCGGATCTAGATGAGAGAATTGATGGAGAGAACGAAGGGGGGTCTTGTCTGTTCTCGAAACTTCTTCCCTCTATCTGCTTCTTGCACTGTCCTGTCCTGTCCCCATTCTGTACCAACAACAGTTGCTGCAGTGCTGGGGGCTACGGGAGTACCTGGAGCTGGAGTTCCGCATTCCAGGGGTGGAGATGGATCTGGAGAGAGAAAGAGTGTGTCTGCTCTCCAGCTCTGTTCCCTCCGCCTGCCCCTTTTTGCCTTTCCCTTGTTGCACTTGTTGCTTTTGCAGTTGCTGCAGTGCTGGGTGCTACGAGAGTACCTGGAGCTGGAGTTCCGCATTTCAGGGGTGGAGATGGATCTGGAGAGAGTGAAGGGGGTTCAGGGTCCACAATCTTGTACTCCGAATTTGCTCCCAGGCTCCTGCCCGTTTCGCAATCTTGCTCCTTGTGTGTGTCCCCTTCCATTGCCTCCTCTCTTGTCTGCTGACCACAGTTGCTGCAGTGCTGGGTGCTACGAGAGTACCTAGAGCTAGAGTTCCGCATCCCAGGCGTGGAGATGGATCTGGAGAGAGTGCTGGACGACTTTGTCTTCATGTGCTTCTTCGTGGGGAACGATTTCCTGCCGCACATGCCCACGCTTGAGATCAGGGAGGTGCGTTCTGGGAAGGTGTATTTGTGGTCGGAGTGGGTTAAGAACGGTGGTGGCATGTTGTGGGAGGGAGGGGCACAGTGGGAGATGGATCTGGAGAGAGTGCGCGGCAACTTCGTCTTCATGTGCTTCTTTGTGGGGAATGACTTCCTGCCGTACATGCCCACACTTGAGATCAGAGAGGTGTGTCTGCCTGCCAGGTGTTGCTGTTAGAAGTGCGTTTGTCTTCATGTGCTTCTTCATCGGGAATGATATTCTGCCGCACATGCCCACACTTGAGATCCGAGAGGTGTGTTGGTGTGGGAGGGTGTTAGAGCGTAGACCCAGCCTCCTTGGTGTGAGTTGAGTTGAACACGTGCTGCTGACATGTTTAGCCGTACGTTGAGGCACCTCTATGGTTCCTGTGATGCTCATGTTGCAAGCTCATGTCTCCCCACCATGTGTGGATGTGTGTGCATGCATTTCCCATGTATGTGTGTGCATGCCATTCCACAGGGCGCCATCAACCTGCTGGTGTCCATTTATCGTCGCGAGTTCACCAACCTGGGGGGCTACCTCACAGAGAACGGCGAGGTCAGTCCGTGTGTGTGCTTGTCCGTGCAGGTGTCTGTACTCATGTGCGTGTGCGTATGTGCGTGCATCCCCCAGGGTGCAATCAACCTGCTGGTGCCCATTTACCCCCAGAAATTCACCAACCTGGGAGGCTACCGCACAGAGAACGGCGAGGTGAGTCTCTCCGCGGCAGTGGCAATACCAGTAGTAGCGGCAGTGGCAGTGTCTGTAACTGTGCCTGTCTGTAGCCCAACCTTCCCGCCCCAACCTGTGGTTGTGATGAGAAGTTCACCCCTGCTGACCCCCGTCTCCCCTGTCGTCCCCCTTGCCTTCTGCTCCTATAACCATCTTGTCTTCCCCTCTCTCCCAGGTGGATCTGCGGCTGGTGGAGCATTCCATTCCATTCAGTCGGTGGCAGTGCACGAGCAGTCCATCTTCATGAAACCTCGCTAACCGCCCACTCGCACCCCCCCACCCTCTTCCCCTCACATTTCTCCTCTTCCCCTCGCAGGTGGATCTGCGGCGGGTGGAGCATTTCATTCAGGCCGTGGCGGTGCACGAGCAATCCATCTTCATGAAGCGCGCTCGCATCCACCAGGTAAGCTGTATGGTGATGCGTGGTGGTGTGCGGTCAATCCAACTTCGTAGAGTGTGCTCGTAATCACCAGGTTGGCACTCCAACCTGGTGACTTCAAGGATGAGATGAGATGAGATGAGTGCGTGCAGGCGGGCTTTGTGTGACTGACATGCCGTGCTTGCACCTTGGTTGGTTGGTTCTTGAGACGTCTTAAAAGACTTCAAGGATGAGATGAGATGAGTGCGTGCGCGCCTTGTGTGACTGGCATGCCGTGCCAGCGACACAGAGCACCTAGGTTGGCTCGCCAGAAGATAGAGCTCTGAGCTGAGCACAAGTCACAGTTAGTGCTTGTGCAAGTCACAGCGCAGCACTGACATGTGTGAGGGAATATCGTGAGGCTGCATGGTGCCTGCCAGCAGCAAGGCGACCAGTGGTGGTACACGCATTGGGATTTAATGCTCTAGTCTTTACGTCCATACGTGGTTCAAGGAGCACACTTTTATGGAGCGCGTGCAGGTCCCATCCCATCCTATGGCACGCTTATATCTCTCTATCCCTCTCCTGTATGTTGCCATGCGCTTTGACATGCATGGGTTATGGTATGGCATGCATGCTGCATGCTGCATGCTGCATGGCATGTGGTGTGTGTCTGCTGGGTTTTGTTGTGTTGTGTGTGCGTGCGCGCGTGCGTGCGTGCGCATGGCGCATGAGCAGAGGCAGAAGGAGAGGAGGGTGAGGGACAGGCAGCAGAAGGAGCGCAATCAGTACCGCAAGGGAGACGAGGCCGCCCCCAACGTCCCCTCATCCGCCCTGCAGCCAGTACGTGCCCTCATCCGCCCTGCAGCCAGTACGTGCCCTCATCCGCCCTGCAGCCAGTACGTGCCCTCATCCGCCCTGCAGCCAGTACGTCCCCTCATCCGCCTGGCTTTCAGATATTAAATCGTTGTCACCTGCTGATGAGGCAGCTGCCCAACGTTCCCTCCTCTCCCCCATCCTGCAGCCAGTACGCCCTCCACTTGCTGCTGTTCACACGATCCCCTTGCCCAGCTCTTCTCTGTCTTTCTATCCCACTTTTGAGGCGCCTCAAAAGCCCTCCACTTGCTGCTCTTCACACGTTCCCCACGCCCAGTTCTTCTCTCTCTTTCTATCCCACTCCCCGTTCGTCTTCACCATCCCTCCTTCCCCTGGCAGCTGCCAGCACCGCAGCAGCCAACACACCACGGGGGGCTGTACAGCCGCAGCGACATGAACCCTGCTTCCCGCAACTCCTTTGCCCTCCTCGCCACGCCGCTCGCCAACCCCACTGCTTCCACCAACGGATCGGCGGGGAGCAACCAGGCAGCTGCTGCTGCACTGCGCGCCAAGCTGGCAGGCCACACTCCTCTGTATTTCTTCTCACACCCCCACTTCCTCCCATCTCCCCCCCTCTCCCCTGCCAACCCACTCCCCACAACAGCTCCCAGCATCGCAGCAGCCAACGCACCACGGAGGATTATACAGCCGCAGCGACATGAACCCCGCCTCCCGCAACTCCTTTGCCCTCCTCGCCACGCCTCTTGCCAACCCCTCTGCTGCTGCTGCTGCCAACGGGTCAGCGGGGAGCAACCAGGCGGCTGCTGCTGCGCTGCGCGCCAAGCTGGCAGGCCACGCCACGTCAGCAGCATCGGCCAACCCGGCTGCGCCACCTGTAACGAAGATGATGCGTGTGGATGGTGGTGCTGCTGGCGCTGCTGCTGCTGCCGCCGCAGGAGGGAGAGAGGTTGGCCGATTGGCCCTATTAGGGGAGGGAGGGATGGGGCACAAGTAGGGGAGTGAGGGATGGGGCAGGGCATGAAGGGGAAAGAGTAGGGCAGGAATGTGAAGGCTAGGGAAGGGTAGAGTCGTTGGGAAGGGTATTGAAGGGTAGAAAAGGGTAGAGACGAGTAGGGAAAGGCAGAGACAGGTAAAGAAGGGAAGAGACAGGTAGAGAGGGGTAGAGACGGGTAGAGAACAGTGGGAAAGGGTAAAAAAGGGTAGGAGAAGGGTAGGCTCTGTAGCAGTGCGAGCAGTAATGGGCGAAAGGTGGTGTGCGAGATTGAGGCATTAGGATAGTGGACTAATGGAGTCAGTCCACTGCATTGAGTTAGTAGAGTGGCATCCACTGCATGTCACGTGCTGCTCGCTGCTTGCTGCGCGTGTGAATGCCTGCCTGCCTGCCTGCCTGCCTGCCTACCTGCCTGCCTGCCTGCCCTTCCTTGTTTCAGCAGTTTCTCATGTGTGCTGGTTCTATAACGCGAACCCACCATGCGATCATGTACCTGCCATGTACCTGCCATGTGCCTGCCATGTGCCTGCCATGTGCCCGCCATGTGCCCGCCATGTGCCCGCCATGTGCCCGCCATGTGCCCGCCCATGCGCCCTTCTTTTTCTTGCCTGCTGTGCGCGTTCATGCTGCAGCCATCTGCCCTTCATTTTATATGCCCATCTTTGCCTCCTTTTCCTCCCGAGAGGGTGAATTTATTATGTAGGGAGGTGTTTTACCTTTTTCTTTCCATCAGTGCTTTCTTCTTCCTTCCATTCCAGCCTCACACACTCGTTACACCCTGACCTCTCTGTCTTCTGTCTTCCCTCCCCTCCCTGCCCCACGCTGCCATGCCTGCCTGCCCCACACTGCCCTGTGTTTTCCCATGCAGGAGGAGGAGGAGGATCTACAGGAGGAGCTGAAGATGAAGCTCAAGTCGGCGCTCAAGGACAAGTCGGACAACTTCGCCGGGGGCAAGGAGCCGGACGACGAGGTGAGAAATGGGAGAGGTTTGAGATTGATTGTGATGTGGTCGGAAGATGAAGCTCAAGTCGGCGCTCAAGGACAAGTCGGACAACTTCGCTGGGGGCAAGGAGCCGGACGGCGGACGACGAGGTGAGATAGGATGTTGGTAGGTGTGACGGAAAGGGATTGGCGTGGTGGGGGAGAAGGGGGGGAATGGGCGTGAGATCAAGATGAAGCTCAAGTCGGCACTCAAGGACAAGGCGGACAATTTCGCCGGGGGCAAGGAGCCGGATGACGAGGTGAGATGGGCGAGCGTTGTGAGAGAGGAATGATGTAGATTGATTGACTGATCTCAAGCTGAAGCTGTAAGAACTACAGGAGGAGCTGAAGATGAAGCTCGAATCCGCGCTCAAGGACAAGTAAGTCGTACAACTTTGCTGGGGGCAAGGAGCCTGATGATGAGGTGAGGGAAGAGGGCGGAGAGGGAGGTGTCGTGCGTGTATCCGTCTGTCTGGGCCATGAGGGGTGGGAGGAGAGGTGGTTTTATCAGCAAAGGTGGTTAATAAGTGGTACCTTGTCTCTCATATCATGTCACCTCGTCTCATCATCCCTTGTCATGTGTGCATCGCCCGATCGTATCGCATGTGGTCAGATCCGGCTGGGTGACGAGGGGTGGAAGGAGCGGTACTACCAGCAGAAGTTTGGCGTGACGTCATACGAGGAGCAGGAGAGAGTTCGTCAGGACGTGGTTAGTACCCTCCCACCCCACTGCACTCCGCCTCACTGCACTCCACCTCACTGCACTCCACCTCACTACCCACCCCACCTTCTCTCCCCCTATGTATTCACGGTCCTGTTGTTGCAGCCTTCCTTTTTTGCTTTCTTTCCACATATTTTCTTTTCTTTTTTTTGCCTTTCCACCACTTCACAACCCATCTACCTCTCTCACTCCCACCCCACCTTACCTTCTCCATCATCTGCTCAATTGTATGGAGGGTCTCTGTTGCCTCATGCAAGACTGTTTTGAGTCGACTTAAAAGTGTTTTGAGTCGAAGCAAAACACACCTCACACTCACCCACCTTACCTTCTCCTACATCTGCTCAAGTGTATGGAGGGTTTGTGTTGCCTCGTGCAAGAAAGACTGCCACCAAGGCTCGCTACCATCTTTCTCACCTGCACACTCAAAATCCCCTCTCTCACACCCGCTTGAAATCCACTTTTCTTTGCTCAACCTCGCACTAGTACTCCCCTCGTTCTCACACACCCCCCGCGGCCTCTGCCCATCCCCCCTCCCCCCCCCAGGTCCTAAAATTCGTGGAGGGTTTATGCTGGGTCATGCGGTATTACTACCAGGGCGTGTGCTCGTGGAACTGGTGAGATCAAGCCGTATTCCCTGGTGGTGCTGCCAGGGTCTCTGCTGGGTTGTATGGTACTGCTGGGTCATGTGTTAGTGCTGGGTCATGCGGTATTACTACCAGGGCGTGTGCTTGTGGAACTGGTGAGAGGTGGCTAGGTTGAAGTGAGGAGGTGTGAGGGAGGGAGGGCAATGATGTGTTTTTGTGCCACAGTTTCTGCTGGGTCATGCGGTGTTACTACCAGGGCGTGTGCTCGTGGAACTGGTGAGATTTAGTCTGAGTAGGTGAGAAGGAGGTAGGTAGTGATGGGTTGTGAGACCTTACCTTTCTACCAGGGCAGGGCGTGTGCTCGTGGAACTGGTGAGAGCAAGCCGTATTACCTGGGTGTACTACCTGTACCGCTCTCCACCGTTTGCATCTCTGCATTTTTTCAATCTGTGTGTTCGTTCCTAGAGTCGACTCTCCGTTCGTTCCCACCCCTCCATTCCCCCTTTCATCTCCTCCCCCGCCTCCCGTTCCTCCTCCTGCTCTTCTCACATATCCCCCCCCCCAAGTACTACCCATGCCACTGTGCACCGTTTGCATCGGATCTGTTCGCCGGGATGAGCGGGGGGACTCTTTCCAGGGCGGGCGTACCACTCATGTGTAGAGAGGGTGTTTTTGAGACGTCTCAAAGACTTCCAGGGCCGGCTTACCACTCATTGCGCCACGTCCTTCACACCACCCCTCCATCCGTATACATGCATACCCCTTCCTTCCCCCTCCCGCAGGTACTACCGGTACCACTGTGCGCCATTCGCATCAGACCTGATACACCTAGATGAGCTGGAGATCCACTTCTCCCAGGGCCCTCTTTCATACATCTATAACCAACTTTCCTCACATGCCCCCTCCCCCAGGTACTACCCGTACCACTACGCACCATTCGCATCGGACCTGGTACACCTAGACGAGTTGGAGATCCACTTCTTCCTCGGCCGACCCCAACCTTACACCACCCCTCTCCATCCATATACATCCCCCCCTTCTCCCAGGTACTACCCGTACCACTATGCACCATTTGCATCAGATTTGGTCCACCTAGACGAGTTGGAGATCCACTTCTTCCTCGGCCGCCCCTTTAAGCCATTCGACCAGCTCATGGGCGTCTTGCCTGCTGCTAGGTACGGTGCTGTGCGGTGGAGTGTGGTCATGTGCTTTGGTGTGCAGTGGAATGTGGTGTAGTGGTTAGAGAGCGCAGTGCTCTGTGTTGTGGTTATGTGGGTACACCTGGACGAGTTGGAAATTCACTTCTTCCTAGGCCGCCCGTTCAAGCCTTTCGACCAGCTCATGGGCATGCTGCCCGCCGCAAAGTATGGTAGAATGTTGTGAGGTAGAGTGCGGTGGAATGCATTGGTGTGGTGGAACACCGTAACCTCAAGCCCTTCTATTCTCAACTCCAAGCTTTAAATCCCTCTGTACCCTTCCCGCCCTCCCTGCCTGCCTCCTATTGTCTGTTCCATACCGTAACATCGAGCCCGTTGTCCCTGTGTATCGGCACCGGCCTCCCCCCTCTATCCCTCCCGCCTCTCCCCTCTCTCCCTTCCCTCTCTCACCCTTCTCCCCTGTCCTCTATCTCTCACCCTTCTCTCGGCGCCCCGTCCCCCCTCGATCCTCCCTAACTCTAACCACAAAACCCTTTCTCCACCTCCCACGGCAGTTCCGGCGCCCTGCCAGCAGCATATCGCAAGCTCATGTCGGACCCTGCCTCGCCCATCGTTGACTTTCTTCCTATCCCCCTCCCCTTTCACCCCCCACCACCACCCCACCCTTCCCCACACACCAGTTCCGGCGCCCTGCCTGTGGCATATCGCAAGCTCATGTCGGACCCTGCCTCTCCCATTGTTGACTTCTACCCCACTGGTGGGCCCGACTTGTCCGCATGCTTTTTCCGCCTCTCTGCCCGCTGTTTCCGCCTCGCCCATTGTTTACTTCTACCCCACTGGTGGGCCCCACACCCACTTGCCCGCATGCTTCTCTCTTTCTGCCCCGCCTCTCTGCCCGCTGTTTCCACCTAGCCTAGCCCGTTGTTTACTTCTATCCCACTGGTACACATGCCACGCCAAGCCATGCCATGCCAAGCCATGCCATGCCATGCCATGCCACGCCATGCCATGCCATGCCACGCCATGCCACGCCATGCCATGCCATGCCATGCCAAGCCATGCCATGCCATGCCATGCCATGCTATGCCATGCCATGCCATGCCATGCCATGCTATGCCATGCCATGCCATGCCATGCCATGCCATGCCATGCCATGCCATGCCATGCCATGCCATGCCATGCCACGCCACGCCATGCCATGCGACACCATGAAATCCCGTGCCATGCCATGTTCTTCCAACCATGCCCTCTTCTTCCTCTTCCTTCTTTCCTCCCACACACCCTTTCCACATCCGCACGCTCTTCATCACCCTCCTCCCTCTCCCGTCCTCCTCTCTTCCCTTCTCCCTTGTCCTCCCACGTTTCTCCCTTCCCCTCACCCCGTCCCCTCTTTTCTCCGTCAACAGACTTCAGTGTCGACATGAACTTTGTTTGGCAGATTCATCGAAACGTCTCAAAAACTCTTCCCCTGCCCCTCCCACCCCACTGCTCCTCTTTCCCTCCTGCCCCTCTTTTTCCCCGCAACAGACTTCAGTGTTGACATGAACGGCAAGCGCTTCGCTTGGCAGGTCAGCCGCCTCTCCTTTCCATGCACGCTATCGTCTCGTTCTCACTCACTCTCTTCTTGATCCTCCTTTTTCCGCTTGCTGTTACCACCCGTTTCTCTCGTCCACCTGCCTGTCTGTCTCTTTCTCTCCGCTCATAGCTCATAACCCATTTGCTAGGAATATGTTTCCAAAGCATACTTACAAAAGCCATCAGCATCTTGCATTGCTCTATGGCATGCTCATCGCCATGCCACTTATGCTCTCTGTCCCCATTACACCTCACCATGCTCCCAGGGAGTGGCGTTGCTGCCATTTATCGATGAGGACCGGCTACTGGAAGCCATCAAGCAAGTCGAGCCTACTCTCACGGTGAGTCCATTCCACTCTCACCACACGCAGCACATGCACGCTGATGCCAGTGCATGTCACTGCACCGCACTGCACCACTCACTGCACCACTCACTGCACCACTGCACCCTGGGTACGCCATCAAGAACTGTGTGCACTCGTGCACGCCTCATGTTCACATATGCTTTTGAGTCGACTCAAAAGCAGACTCATGTGCACGCCTCATGTTCACATATGCTCAGACCGTGCCTCTTTTGTCCCAACCATGCATCCCCACCCACACAGCCCGAGGAGAGGAGGCGCAACAGCCAGCTGTGCGAGCTAATGTACTTCTCATCGGGGTATCCACTGGCAAAGACGGTGTGGGAGATGATGGGCAAGTGGGGGCAGCTCGACGCCAAGGCGCGCTCACACAAGAAACACGCCATCGACCCCTCCCTCAGGTATACCTCCCTCAGATATACCCCCTCAGGTATGCCTCCCTCAGGTATACCGCCACCAGGCCTCCCTTTTCTCTCTTTCGTCCCCTCCCTTCTGTCTCTCCTCTCCCCCTCCCCCATTCCTGCGTCGACATTTGCATTTACATCTTGTCCTCCTGAATGCCCAGCCCAGCCCACCCATGCTGCTGCAGCAACCTCACACATCCCACCATCCTTGCTCATTGTCCCCTTGTTTCTGCCTTGCCTCCTTCGAATCCCCTCCCACCCAACCCCCTCCCCTACCCCTGCCTCTTCGTCCGCCACGCCCAGTCCTCTTCTCTCCTAGTCCTATCCTCTTGACTCTTCCTCTTTCCCTGGGTTGCCGTGCAAGGAGGAATGAATGCATCAGCCGTGGAATGAACGGCTATTTACACCTTTGTGACGCCCCAGCCCGACTTCCGCCCATACTGCTGCAACCAGTCACAGACATCATCGCACAATCCTCCCTCATTTTCCCCCCTTCTTTCTCTCCTCCCCTTGTTCTGCCATCCCTCCACCCCTCCTTCTCTCCTCTTTTCCCGTGCCCTGCCCATGCTGCTTCTGCAAGCAGTCACACACATCCCAAAAGACGTTCTTCATTTTCCCCCCTTGTGCCGCTCTGTCTCCCTCTTGCTTCTGCCTTCCCTTGCTTCTGCCCCTGCCCCTGCCCCTGCCCCTGCCCCTGCCCGCGTTTCACCTCCCATCCCCCCTCTGGATTGCTGTGCAAGGGGGAGTGGCTCTATCAGCGATGGCATGAACGGGTACCTCGTCTCGTGCTCTGTGACGGTCAACCCTGCCCGCCCATGCTGCTGCAAGCAGTCACACACATGCCTCATTTTTCCCCCTTTCCTTTCTTCTTCTCTCCATTGCTTGTGTGTTCCTTTCCTCCTTCCCCTGCCCCTACCTGTGCTCGTGCTCGTGCCCCTTATATCCCTCCTATCCCCTTCCGGGTTGCTGTGCAAGGGGGAGTGGCTCTATCAGTGATGGCATGAACGGCTACCTCGTGCTCTGTGACGGTCAGCCCTGCCCACCCATGCTGTGCGGCCCCATGACGGGATTCGAAACCATCACCAGCAACCAAGTCACACGCTTCCCAAAGAACGTTCCTCATTTTCCCCCCTTCTGTTGCTCCTTCTTCCCATTTCTTCTGCCTTCCTTCCCTCCTCCTGCCCCTTGTCCTTGCCCCTGCCCGTGCCCCTTATATCCCTCCAATCCCTCCCCTGGGTTGCTGTGCAAGGGGGAGTGGCTCTATCAGCGATGGCATGAACGGGTACCTCGTGCTCTGTGACGGCCAGCCCTGCCCACCCATGCTGCGCGCCCCCATGTCGGGCTTTGAAACCATTACCAGCAACCAAGTCATGTGAGCAACCAAGTCATGTGAGCAACCAAGTCATGTGAGCAACCAAGTCATGTGAGCAACCAAGTCATGTGAGCAACCAAGTCATGTGAGCAACCAAGTCATGTGAGCAACCAAGTCATGTGAGCAACCAAGTCATGTGAGCAACCAAGTCATGTGAGCAACCAAGTCATGTGAGCAACCAAGTCATGTGAGCAACCAAGTCATGTGAGCAACCAAGTCATGTGAGCAACCAAGTCATGTGAGCAACCAAGTCATGTGAGCAACCAAGTCATGTGAGCAACCAAGTCATGTGAGCAACCAAGTCATGTGAGCAACCAAGTCATGTGAGCAACCAAGTCATGTGAGCAACCAAGTCATGTGAGCAACCAAGTCATGTGAGCAACCAAGTCATGTGAGCAACCAAGTCATGTGAGCAACCAAGTCATGTGAGCAACCAAGTCATGTGAGCAACCAAGTCATGTGAGCAACCAAGTCATGTGAGCAACCAAGTCATGTGAGCAACCAAGTCATGTGAGCAACCAAGTCATGTGAGCCGCTGCGCCAATAAGGTTGTCTGAGCTGCCGTAGTTTAGCAGTTGGGTCATGTGCGGTAGCATTGCAGCCCTGCTCGCCCATGCTGCGCGCCCCCATGTCCAGCTTCAAGACCATCACCAGCAACCAAGTCATATGAGCTGGCAATCAAGTCGTGTGAGCTGGCAGCCAAGTCATATGAATCGGCAAGTAGGTCATGTCACATGACTTCCCACCACCACCACCCCCGTCACCCCCTCTCACTAGCTGTGTGGTCTACAAAAATCCTGACTTCCATTGCCCACATCTGCCTTGTCTGCACCTCTTAACATATCTCTTCATCTCACCCCCCCCCCTCTCCTTCCCCCACCTCCACCTCCACCCCACCCCCCGTTCCTCCCCCCTCACCAGCATCTCCCGCACCTGTTGCCAGATGTGTGGTCTACAAGAATCCTCACTTCCATCGCCACATTCTTTGCACCTCTTACCATACCTCCGCAACCACCCCTCTTCCCCCACCCCCCCCCCCTCCCCCCCTCCCCCTACTCTCCCCCTCCCCGTCCCCCGCAACCACCCTCCCACCAGCTGTGTGGTCTACAAGAATCCCGACTTCCATCGCCACATCTGCAAGAATTCTCTTCACCTCTAACCGTGTCTTTACGTTCCGCCCCTCCCCCCAATACAACCCGCCATCACCCCCATCCATGCACCCTCTTAACAGCTGTGTGGTCTACAAGAATCCCGACTTCCATCGCCACATCTGCAAGAATTCTCTTCACCTCTAACCGTGTCTTTACGTTCTGCCCCTCCCCCCAATACAACCCGCCATCACCCCCATCCATGCACCCTCTTAACAGCTGTGTGGTCTACAAGAATCCCGACTTCCATCGCCACATCTGCAAGAATTCTCTTCACCTCTAACCGTGTCTTTACGTTCCGCCCCTCCCCCCAATACAATACAACCCGCCATCACCCCCATCCATGCACCCTCTTAACAGCTGTGTGGTCTACAAGAATCCCGACTTCCATCGCCACATCTGCCGCCCGCCAGCTGGCGTCATCTACCCCCCCAAGGTATCTATCCGTCGCCCAAGGCATGTCCTTGACGCTTAAAGCCAAGCATGTGTCTGCCGCCCGCCAGCTGGCGTCATTTACCCGCCCAAGGCATGTATTCGCCGCCCAAAGCATATATGTCGTGTCCAAAGCATGTATCTGCCGCCCAAGGCATGAATTTGCCACCAAAGGCATGTATCTGCCTCCCAAGGGCGCTACCTTTTAAATCCTCAGCTTTCACCCGTTGCTTTTGAGCTTACAGTATTCGAACAGAACATCAATTTCGAGGCATTTGATTGACGCTTCAACACCTCCCTGTGATCCCTTCTCTATCTTCCCACCCACTTCTCCCCCCGCCTCTCTGTTGTGCCCACCAGTTGGTATCAGAGCAGGACATCAAGTCGGAGCCGCTGTGGCACGAGGACACGTGGGGGCGACGACGACCGCAGATACAAGAGAGGTGCGTGTGCTGGGCGTGTAACTATTGGAGATGAGCATAGGATCAGTCAGAAGGATTTGCTAGTGTCCATGTGCCATTTCCTCGCATTTCCACCTTACTCCTAGCGTGCTCCCTTTGCCTCCTCGCAAGCCAAATTGCAAACCACCGCACCGCCTACCCACTTGATGTGAATCACTTCACTTTGTCGAATTTCTCACCTGACAAGTTATTTATCTCAGTGGATAATGCAACCACACTCTGCCTCCTTTCCTGTCTCTTACCACTTGCTCCTTCCTAACCTTACATTATCCCCTTCTCACCCTTCAAGGCCCCCTACTCCCTCTGTCCCCCGCCCTCCCGTCTAATTTCTTTCCCCAGGAAACCGGTGCAGAACGCAATAGGAGGGCCCGTCCTAGGGGCGGCAGCCACTCGTCTGCTTCTCAACTCGCTCGGCGCGGCCGGCCGGCAGGGCGGGGCGGCAGCCGCGCAGCTGCGAGAAGCGCAGCAGCGCCTGTCCCACATGGGCACTGCTGGTCCTGTCCCCCTGCCTGTGCCTCTAGCGGGCGGCATTCTCCCCGTACAGTCACCCTACAGCCTGTCCGCCCCTTATAGTCACGCTCATGCAGGGGGATACAGTCACGGGCAAACGGGGGGGTACGGTGCGGTGCAATCGGCAGATCCTAGGGTTGCTGCTTATGGAGGGAAAGCAGGGGCGTATGGGCAAGAACAGCAGCAGCATCAGCAGCCGCAGCAGCAGCAGTATGGTTATCGGGGGGGACAGGCCGTATACCAGGTGCAGCAGCAGGCACAGGGGGGGTATTACCAGCAGCAGCAGCAAGGGGGGTATGGAGGGAATGTGTGGGTGAGGCCTGGGAGTGGAGCAGGCACACAAGTGGCAGCACAAGCAGCAGGGGGATACGGTGGACGAGGGGGGTATGGGCAAGCGGGAGGGTACGGGAGAGGGGGGTATGGGGCAGGGCAACAGGGGTATGGGGGGGGCCAGCAGCAGCAGGGGTATGGGGGGCAGCAGGGACGGGGGTATGGGCAGCAAGGGGGGGGGTATGGGCAGGGGAGGGGAGGGCAATACAGCCAAAGTAGGCGCTGATGCTGATGTGGTTGACGAAGCAGACGGTGCTGCCGGGGTGAGATGAATTTGGGAAAGGCAGGCTCTTCAGAAAATGCGGCGGTTCTCCAAAAATATATGTACATGTCATTCACTGGCAGATGGAATGCAAATCAATTTTGGGTAGTTGTCCACAGGCTTTTTTGTGCTACCTATGGGTCAAGGGCATTCATGATGCTTGTCATTTTGCTAACAAGTGTTATACCTGGCCTTCAACTCAACTACTTGTAGAGGATCAAGTGAAGAAATTATAATCTCATGTAGTTTTTGAGCTATATGAAATGAAACGCATATACAGTTACGGTTCTCCAATCGTAATGGACGATGTTGGAGCATTCAACAGGCAAACGCCTACCATCGCGAAGAGCATGTACGAAGTTCATCGGGCGATGTTATTGTAGCACTTGCTACCGTGGAGTGGCGAAATGCCAAACCAATCTCAAGGTTGAATTTACTGAGCACATAAGTCGTCGCCTGGGGCTTCGCATAGCGCTCATTTTCGTCGCACCATGAGGAAGGACGACGATTTACGTCATTCTTACCTGCAGACTTCCCCGAACGTCACGATCCACTTCGTGGAGGCCGGCCCTCCAACCGGCCAACTGGTTTGTCAACCTACTATGCTTATCTCCACATCGCACTCCACCCCTGTCTCTTTCACTCGATTCTCAGTGTTCTGGATTTTATGGCGTTCTGTGGCGTCACTTCGTGCATAGTGCTCCAAGAACAGGATTCCCTAAGGCCGCATTTCAGGCTGTTACGAACAACCAGCTTCGTAACAGCCGACCGCCTTACGCCGCTTCACGACTGTAGGCGATCCCTTACTCGCCAATCAGTGTGCGTCATTTTCAGCAAACTTTGTTCGGAAGTCACTTGTTACGAGGTCCGAAATGCGGCCTAATAGGATTTTTCATCACGCTTTGTTTTCGTCCGCGCATTGTCGCAACGCGTGCGTGCTCTCTTGCAGGTGGTGCTGCTGCACGGTTTTCCCGAGTTCTGGAACACGTGGCACAAGCAGATTGGTCCTCTAGCCGAAGCAGGCTTTCGCGTCGTCGTTCCGGACCTTCGAGGGTTCGGTGAATCTTCGCGGCCGGCTGGAATCGCGTCGTATAGTCGCCAGCATGTCTGCGCTGACGTGGCGTCGCTCATCTCGCACTGCCTCTCCCGTGCGACAGATGCTGCGACACCAGGTTCTGGCGATGTCGCCGCTGCGAATCTCAGCAGCAGCAGCGCAGTCGCTGGTGATTGTCGCATGTCGCCGGTAACAACGCTGGGCGAAACTGGTCTGCGACAACGAACCAGCGAGCGTGGCGATGATAGACGAAAAGCTGACTTGGTGAGTATTAGTCATGAATGGGTGGCGAATGGGCGAAGTGTTAATGGCGACATGCATAGAAGGAACGAATCTGATGCATTCCGTAGTTTGTCAAATAGCTCTTTTCCTTCCTCCCCTCCCCTCCCCTCCCCTCCCCTCCCCTCCCCTCCCCTCCCCTCCCCTCCCCTCCCCTCCCCTCCCCTCCCCTCCCCTCCCCTCGCCGCCCGTACTCTCTTCCTTCCTCCCCTCCTTTCCCATCCCGCTTTTCCGTTTCCTGTCATCCCCTGTTGCTTCACCCCCAACCCCCCATTCCCCACATGGCCCATGACCCATCCACACCTCGTCATGCTGCCCGCCCTCCCCTCTTCCCCTCCGTCATCCGCGCACCATGGCTATGGCTGTGGAGACATCACAAAGTGGGCCATGGCTAGGGCCATGGACCGTGCTCATCTCGTTGCTCATGCCAACCCGTCCCTCACTCCATATCTCACCCCAATCGACCATCAGGTCGGGCACGGGTGGGGAGCCTTCACAGCGTGGGTCATGGCCATGGACCATGCGCACCTCATTCGCCGAGTGGCAGTGCTCTGTGGGCCGCACCCCCTCATCTTCCACCACTCCCTGTCCCTCTGGGAGCCCCTTACGCTGCTGCGATACTTCTACTGGTGTGAGTGCTGCTGCTCTGCTTTGCGCTGCTTCCCTCTGTGGGCCGCACCCCTTCGTCTTCCGCCGCTCTCTGTCACTTTGAGAGCCCCTCACACTGCTGCGATACTTCTACTGGTGTGAGTGCCGCTTGCCATTGTGGGGAGTTCACTCCCTTCCATCCCACCACATGCCTTGTAAGCAAAGTTTGTCCGTGCCCCTTCTCTGTGGGACAACCCCTCGTCCTCCGCCGCTGCCTCTCGCCCTGGGAGCCCTTCACTTTGCTGCTGTGCTTCTTCTGGTGTGAGTGCCGCTGTCATTCCCTGTAGGGAAATTCGCTGCTCTGCTCTGCTCTGTTCTGCTTTCCTCTGTGGGCCGCGCCGCACCCCTTTGTCTTCCACTGCTGCCTGCCCCTTTAGGAGCCCTGCACACTGCTGTGGTGCTTCTACTTGATTTGCCATGCCATGCCATGCCATGTCATGTGTCATGCCATGCCATGCCTTGCCATGCCATGCCACAGCAATGGTTGCACTTATGCAATGAACACTGATGCCCCGCACATCTTTTCCTGTCTGCCGCTCATTCCTTCTTGATTCCACCCAATCCCCTCTCACATCCAGCTCCACACCTCATGCCTTCATGCCCTCATCCCTTCGTCCCTGCAGTTCTCTTCCTCGTGCCATGGCTTCCCGAATGGCTTTTGCGACGCAACAAGTGAGCCACATACATGCTGACCCACACATTCCGAACCGCACACATGCCGAACCACACACATGCCGAACCGCACACATGCCGAACCACACACATTCCGAACCGCACACATGCCGAACCGCACACATGCCGAACCGCACACATGCCGAACCGCACACATGCCGAACCGCACACATGCCGAACCGCACACATGCCGAACCGCACACATGCCGAACCGCACACATGCCGAGCCGCACACATGCTGCACCGTGCAGTCAGTGCCACAGCATGTATTTTTCTGGCGCCTCAAAAGTCATTTCACTGCCCCCAAACTTTTAGGCGCGTCAAGATCTTATCCTTCTCCCATTTGCCACAGCATCCCCCCAAGCGGCTGCCATGTTGTGTTGTGTCACCTATCCATCCAACCCCCAACCCCCCATGCTCTTTTGAGTCGGCTTTTTCTAGTCGCCTCAAAAGTAATTCTCCCACATGCCACAGCATCCCCCCAAGCGGCTGCCATGTTGTGTTGTGTCACCTATCTATCCAACCCCCAACCCCCCATGCTCCCTCCCATTGCCCCATGTCCTCTCACTCCATGCCTTATTCATCTCTCCCACCTCTCTCCACCGCTCTCCAAGTCTCTCCACCTCATCCCACCTCTCTCCACTTCTCTCCACTTCTCTGTTCTTCTCCCCCCAGCTGTGCGGCCCTGCAGCGAGTGTATCGCAACGAGCCCCTGTACCCACTGCCTCCTGCCATGGTGCAGAGGTATGGTGATGGATGGGAGGGGGTGGGGAACGGTGTGAGGAAGAATGTGGGGTGCCGTTGTGGCGAGGTGCAGTGCGGAGAGGAGGGAAGGCAAGGGAGAGACAAAGCGAGAGAGATGGGATGTGGGAGAGGGTTTGGAGGAATAGCAGAAATGACTAAGTGAGGCAGGAATAGCAGAATATGCCTGAATCCGCTTTTGAGAGTGGCTTGTTCGGTGGCAGAAGAGAAAAAGGTTTCCAACTCCTTCAGTCCTCCCAGCCGCTCTGTTCTGCAGTTCTAACGCTTATCATCCAACTCTCAAACCAGGAGTTCCGTGTTCGTTAGGCGGCCTGGCAAAGCCACCACTTGTCATGCCACTGGTGTGAGAGCATGGCCTCACCTCACCACATGCACGCACTCCTCTATCCTGCTCTAGATGCTGTGTCTGCCTGAGCCTCTCACATGCCAGCTCCCATGCGCCCATGTAACCTCCCTGCTCCCCCCCTCTCCCCCCCTTTCCGCTTCGCCTCCCCCACATCCTCTTTCAATTGCTTACTCTGCCTACAGCCACGTGGAAGCCTTCTCCACCAATGGTGTGCTGACAGCTGGCATCTCGTACCACAGGGCGTTCCTGTGGGGGCTGTGGCGGTTCGGCCGCCCGGTACCCGTGCCGCACAGGGTGCTCGTGCTGTGGGCGGGAAAGGACAAATACGCCCGCCCGCACATGGCGGAGCCGCCGCCCGCCCTTGTGCCCAACGCGCAAGTGGTGCATTTCCCCGAGGTGAGCTGCTCTCACTGTTTTTCCTGACCTGCTCATACTGCTCTTCCTGTGCAGCTCACATCTTTTTGTTTGTTTGGTTTTTTTTTTCTGTGCAGCTCACATACTGGATGATGTGGGATGATCCGGAGCAAGTGAATTGCCACTTGATTTCATTCTTGTCTAAAGACAATGAGAAAACAGAGCTGTAATTAACTAGGTTCCCCTATGTTGAAGTATCTAATGAAGGTTTGTTTTCTTACTGAGTTCCAATTTCGAGCATGGCTGGTTGTTCTTATTTCAGTTTGTGAGCAGGCCCCAAATTTCAAGGGTAAAATACCCTTTTTGCCCTGATGGTAGGCCGCTTTTTCCCAGTTACCCTTGCAAAAACAGGGTATCAAATTTATTACCCTAGAGCAAACAGGCTAAGATTTGATTTACACTGATAACGATTTCTGTTACCCTGCCGATATCAGGGTGCACTGTATACTTCACAGATACCGAATCCTCTTAGCGAGAGTTTTCCTTGCGAAGCTGCGAAAATTTTTGGTGCACCAGCCAGATTCTAACCTGCGACCTTCGGAATTCTAGCCTCACATCTGACTAACTGAGACATGTTCTGGTGGGGTCATGCTCTTAGAAGTGCAATCAATAAATAAAAAACAATTCATCCTTTTAAAATCAGTGTACATGTTTTTTTAGGCTGTTTTTGGCAGGGTACGAAATATTTTACCCTAACAGTCAGGTTCTGGGGGCCTGGAACCCTGATTTGAAAGAGTGGACCTAAACCTATTTTGGGCCCTGTTTGAGAGACATTGAGTTGTTCTGTAGGGTGAACAAATGATGTCCTTGTATCATGTTATGAATGAACTTGTCAGAGTGCGCAGATATCGAATAACGAGAATGTTGAACTACCGAATGCCTGAACAATGAAGTAGCGAGGCCTAAATAGGGGAAAACCTAGCTAGGCGGGGATGGTGTGGTAGAGTTGGCTCGCGAAGTGTCGCGATTGGTGCGGAGGCGGCTCGGTGAGGTTGGGATGCGAAATTGTAGGCCGAACCAGTTGGTCGCGTGGCCCTCGGGATGGCCTCGCTATCGAGCGCCTCAGTAAGGATTTGTAAATCCTTACACTCTCCCACCTCCTAAATAAGGCAGCCCTGTACTGAAAAGGGTCACCCAGTAGCGAGGATGCCGTTGATCTTCACTTCAGCTGAATCCGACGGCTGAAATGCCCCAGACAATATTGTTGAAAAGGTTGGAATGTCGGCCGTTGATGTTGTCAGATTTCGATCTGACGGTCGAAGATGAAGTGACCTCAATTGTAATGAAAGTTGGATTGTGAGCCGTAGATGCATATGCTGTAGATCCGACGGTCGAAGCAGATGCGAAAAGGGAGGGAACCTGCTGACGCGAATTCAAACGCAATTGAGCAGGAACCGTAGATCGTGTCGGTGTGATCGCGGTCGTCCGTCGTGCTGTCGCAACCTGACAAAGTCAGAAAAGGACCAAGAAAACGCCAAGGAAAGAACAGTGCGAAGCACTTTCTCCCCCACTCCAAGAAAACACACCATAAAAGTTCCAGCAGCTGCGCCGAGATGAAAACAAACAAAACCGGGTGTTAAGTCCCACGAAGGAAGCCGTTGATGGAAGGAACCCAAGTGAAAATGCGTCGGTGTGGAAATGTCGATGTCGAAACCAGGAATTACGTGCCCAAAAGTCGTCAAGGGCGAACCAGCGAAAGTAGACCAGAAACCGAAACCGAAATTGCCGAGTACTCGAACTGAAGCTTTTTGTCTTCACATCGCCAGAATCATGCAGCATCCGCAGCAGTTGCAGCTGGCAGCACCTGACGTGGCTGAAATTAAATATGTTTGTCGTGGGCGGGTCGATGGCGAGTTGTTGGAAGCAGAGTTGGGATGGATTCTCCAAGAATTTTGTCGTAATCCGCCGAGAGTTCGTGGGCAGGGATGAAAATTTGCAGCTGTCTCTCCCCCCCCGTCACTGTTGCCGCCGCCTTCTCCAGTTCGTCGTAAGTCGTTCGTACCCCTTGAAAAGTCCGTGTAGTTCCCGCGCCGTTGCCCTGCGTAAATTTCGCGCGCGTGTAACCAAACTTCGAAAGTACTGCCACAAAATTGCCGCGCTTTCGCCGTAAAACCGTGAAGTCCTTCGTCAAACTCCGAAATCGTCGCTCGAGAAGTAGCCCCGTAAATCCACAGGTCTAGGTGCAGTTCTCCTCCGAAAATCTCAGACGTGCTATAGCCGCCCACCCGGTCACCATCAGTTTCCTTCGGTTACCCGACCCCAGCATGTGGGTTAAATCGAGAACCGGGGACTGCCCTGGGTCTTCCGAGACCGAATTTCACGGAACCTAGAGGCATCAACGCCGTTGACCCCGTCGTCGAAACTGCTCCCGTCGATGTCGCTTAACTGAAAACCACGCAAACTCCCACTGGCGCTTTGCGATGTTTCACCTCATCGCGCGTCACCGGCAGGTAAATCCCGAAGCCTCGGCTGCTCCCACGCTCCCTGAAGAATTTCCCGCGGTGTACGTTTAAACACCCGTGGGTCCTAGGTATCAACCGCACTCCAAGAAACGAAGAAAACACCCTCAGCTTCAACTCCTTTTTTTTTCGTAGGAAGATAACCCCGAAAATCGTGGTTGAGGCTGCAGTCCCGAAGTTATTCTCCGCCGTATAGCCCCGACGTTTCCGCCGTTTTTTCCCTGGTACTCCGATGTTCACCCATCTTCGTACCCGCCGGACTACTTAGCGAATCCCAGGTATCCTTGGCAATGTACCGCTCGCCGCGCCTCCATGTAACGATATCAAACCCTTTCGGGGGTCTACCGAATAGACTCCGAAATTCGCGGTAGATTGGTGCACGGGCTCAACCTATCACTCAAGTGATCTGCTGGATCACCCACAACTTTCCCTTCCGTCATCAATTTTTTCGTATTCACCCCCCGACAATTTCGCTTCCCGCCGTTCACCCAGCGTCCGCTTTTGTCGGATGGGGTATCGTCGTTGTTGCCCACGCGAACTCGGCCACGGTGGAGAGGCAAAAACTATCGGAGTCGGGGCAGCCTTAGTTAAAAGGAAACTGTCGCCCAACCGTTTTGCAGCCCGCCGTGCCTATCACGTCACGTAAAATCCACAGCTTCCCGGTCTCAGCTTCGCCGCCGCGCCGTCGATTCGTGTAGACGCCCGGGTCAGGAGAAACCTGTAGACTGCACCATTTCTTCTTCGCAGCTCCCCGACTTTTTCGCGTGCCGTTCACCCAGCCCGCTTTTGTTGGAGTAAAACAGTGCCGCGAGCTCCACTTTTTTTTTGTATTTTTTCTGTACAGCTGTCGAACGGGCACCAATCCCGGTACCTTTAACCAGCGCAGGGTAGGCCACGTGTTCACCCCCGTTATTCGGCCAAGTAGGTTGACTGCATGAGTCAGAACCAGGACTTGGTGGGGATGGTGAGGTTCGGGCGAAGTAGGGCCGCAGAGCGATTCCACCGGCTTTTAATCTGCCCCCGCAACGTTCTTCAACCCCCGCTTAGCCGTTGGGCCGTTTCTTCTCGCGTGTCCCGGCAGCCTGTACCGACCCCTCCGAAATTATCGGGCGGTACCTTGGACACCGTTTAACCGTGGGTTGTCAGCAGCTGTCCCCGAAAACAACATCCTTGGTCAGGGGAAACTGTTCTCGATACTGCCGGCCAGCTTGCAACAACACCAGGCACGCAGCGTCACACGCGTTCTTTCGAGGTGTACCTGCCCCGATTTCCCTCGTCGCCTGCGTCCCACTCCTCGTAAGTGCGGTTTAGCCATCGCGTTTTCCGTTGCAGCCCGTAAGCGTCAGCAGGTATGAAGTCCCGTCTGTCCACGAGCACTCCTGCCGAATTTGTTGATGACGCGCCCGCCAATGCAGTAAAAGCTGCCGCACTTAACAGGTCGGGCGGGACGGCAGTTAACTCCCGCGAAGTCGGGCAGTCTTGTGTCGTCTCTCCTCGCCACCGACATTTTCGGACGCAAACTCCTTTTGCGCCTGGCGAGTTCCCCAGCCGACGTTTTCTTCAACAGAAGCTCCGAAATTTTCGCCACAGTGACGCACGTTCCTTGTCGCCAGCTGCCGAGCCACACTCCGTGAGTCGCGCGCGCATGATGACGACGAGCCACCGTTGTCACTTGCCGCATGGGACGGACTCCGAAGTTGTCGCAGCAGTTGTTGACTCGGGTCCGACGGCGTCAACTGCCACACATCGTGACGACTTCCGAAATCTTCGTGCAGGTGCCGACGCAGATCCGCTGACGCCAGCTGCCTCACAGTTTCGAAATCGTCGTTAAAACCGCAGCGGAAATAGTAACTCACGTTCAGAGTCGCGACAGCTCCAGCTGTCCGTTGCCCGGGGGGAGGGAGGCCACGGTCGATCGCGACCGTTCGAGCTAAGGATCTGGCGGTGCCGAAGGAGTGCCCCGTAAAACCATGGCCGCGAAGAGCAACTAACGAGTTCTCTTGGCCGGCCTACGCAACTCCTGGACCCCAAGGCATCCTTACTCGTCCCCCCCCCGAGGGGTAATACACTCTAAAAAACGGGGTAGGCTAGGAAAGTAGCTCTGATACCAGGTGTTATGAATGAACTTGTCAGAGTGCGCAGATATCGAATAACGAGAATGTTGAACTACCGAATGCCTGAACAATGAAGTAGCGAGGCCTAAATAGGGGAAAACCTAGCTAGGCGGGGATGGTGTGGTAGAGTTGGCTCGCGAAGTGTCGCGATTGGTGCGGAGGCGGCTCGGTGAGGTTGGGATGCGAAATTGTAGGCCGAACCAGTTGGTCGCGTGGCCCTCGGGATGGCCTCACTATCGAGCGCCTCAGTCAGGATTTGTAAATCCTTACATATCAGCTCTTCGAACCAAAGGGAACTCAGTAACGAGTGCGCGTCACTTCCAGCCAAGCACATCACACCCCGTCAATTAGGAAATAACGCACACTCGACAGACGGCGTTCCGTTAGCGTCCGATCCGATTAGGACATCTGACGCTAGCAGCCCCAATAACTGTTCGCGACACCTTGCCGTGGCTGGGCTTTACCTGACGATTCACCGACGAAACACCTGCCGACGCAGGGGAAATTATACGCGTTAATACGCTTGCCGACGGACCAGCGATCAGCGTCGTAGTCGTGTTGAGATGCGGGTGAAGCGGCAGCGGGAGGTGCGACGCCATGTGCGCTTCTACCGCACGAGCTGCGGCTTCCGCGAGCCGTTCAAGGCCGTCGCGGACGGCACGTTCCTGCACCACGTCACGCGCCTCCGCCTCTCGCCGCTCGCCACGTCGATTCCCAAGCTGCTCGGATTTCCGACACGTGTCTACATCACACGGTGCGTGTCCACGTCACACCGTGCGTGTCCACGTGGCTCGCATCAGCCTCTCCCTGCGTATATCGAGCCGCAAAACATCCTGCGCCTTTATGGTGTGTTACCTCGTCAGGAGATGTGTTTCCAAGTCACGCGGTGTGCGTCCACGTCACACTGTCCGTACTGCTGCACCGCTGTCTGTTCTGCTGCTATCTAGCAGCACACCACCATCCATTCAGCGCCCGCAGCCTCTCAATCCGTAGTTAATCCGCGCAATCCTCCCATCGGAATACCCATTACAACCCAACGCGAACCCCCTTAAACCCTCACTATACCCCGACCAACCCCTTGCGAACCCCTTTTAAACCCCCAGCTCGTAAACCGCTGGGCATCAAAACCCCCGCATGGCATATCCGTGGCTGCGGTCGGCCAACAGAGGCTGCTACACCGCCAGTCCACTCACACCATTCAAGCAACCAGATCCCTAAACCAAAACCCCAAACCCTTAACCCGAAATCCCAAATTATACCCCGGAAGTTATGTCTTTCGCGTTCCCACCCTCTCCCGCTATTTCCCCTCCCCTCACCCCCCACCCCTCAGCCTTTTCTTCGCCTCCCCATCCCCACACTCCTCCCCCCCTCTCTCCCTCCTTTAGGTGCATTCTGGCGGAGCTACTGCGCCTGGGGGACGCTTTCAAGGACTTGTCTCCTCACCATGTCCATTCCCTAGTCCCGCCGCCCCCCGCTGCCCCCCCCTGTGGATCTCCCCCCCCCCTGCAGGTGCATTCTGGCGGAGCTGCAGCGCCTGGGGGATGCCTTCAAGGACACGCGCTTTGCTGCCCGCCAGCTGGAGGTCGCCAGGTATGCCACGTGGAATGGTGCTTTAGTACTGCCACGTGGCATGGGTGTCTGAGTACTGCCACGTGGCATGGGTGTCTGAGTACTGCCACGTGGCATGGGTTTCTGAGTACTGCCACGTGGCATGGGGTCTGGAAACTGCCACGTGGCATGGATCCATGCATGAGGGCGGTCAGGCAGTGACTGCATCAGAGTGCATCCAGCATCTGATAACAGGTGGTAACCGGCGGTAACAGGTTGCTGCACTCGGTAACACATTGCATAGAGCACCTCATGGCAAATGGCAACACGGGGTGGTAACCACCTGCACTTCCTTCCATCCACTCACTCCTTTCCCCGGTCCTTCGGCCTTATCAAACCAGGTGCACGCACGAACGAGGGCGAGGGGACAGTGACAGCATCGGGATTGCATTCAGCACCTCGTGGCAGGTGGTAAATAACCACCAGCACTTCTGTCCGCCCCTCTTCCCATCCCAACTCCCCAAACCACCAGGTGCACACATGAGGGCGAGGGCGCAGTGACATCATTGGGTTGCTTCCAGCACCTCGTGACCGGTGGTAACCACCAGCACCCTCCTCCACTCCTCTCCCCCCACCAATCACCATCATCAGGTGCACGCATGAGGGCGACGACGGGGCAGTGACAGCGTCAGAGTGCATTCAGCACCTCGTGGCAGGCGGTAACCAGCAGTTGCTTTCACTCACTCCTCTTCCCCTACCACTCTTCCTAACAAAATTAGGTGCACGCATGAGGGCAATGAGGCAGTGACAGCGTCGGAGTGCATTCAGCATCTCGGGGGGGCAGAAATCAGCGGCACCCCTCTCCACTCCTCCCCACCCCTTCCAGGTGCACGCATGAGGGCGACGGGGCAGTGACAGCATCGGAGTGCATACAGCACCTCGTGGCGGGTGGTAACCACCAGCACTTTTTCGTTGCCTCACAAGACATCGAACTCAAGAAGCTTCTCAAGAAGGTTCGTTTCAGGTCCAGTTTCCATGCCATTGGGAGGACACAGAGTGGCTATGTTTTTCCCCCCATATCTTTTTTCCCCATGTATATTTTCCCACCTTGTGTATTTTTCCACCTTTCCCCCTGTATTGCATGTACTCCTGGGGTGATCTTTTATTCGACACCATAATAACCTCAAGCTTCCTCCCCAGCTCGTTGTGTTGTTTGAGTCGAATTGAGTGTTCATGCGTCAATTGTGCTAGCACCCATTTTCTCCACTCCACCCTCCCACCCATCCACCCCACCCCCCAAGCATCATACCCCCCTGTCCCAAGGTGCCACCATACCCTCTTTCCCCTCCCCATTCCCCCCGTCTCCTCCCCCCCTCCCCATTCCCCGCGTCTCCTCCCCCCCTCCTCAATTCCCGCTTCTTCCCCCCCTCCCTCCTTTCTGCACCGACTCACCAGGTCCCTGCAGGGCCAATGATCTTAGCCAATGATACCTCCGTGATCCATCTGCCTCAAGCTGCCGTCCCCTCGCAACCTCTCCCTTGTTCTTTTTCTCTCTTTCTACTAGCTCTCTTCTCTTCCTGGCTCTCTTTTCTCTTCCTTTTCCACCCCTCCCTCCTTCCTTCCTCCCCTCCCCCAGGTGCCAGCAGTGCCAATCATCTCAGCCAATGGGACGTCAATCTCCCTTGAGCCTCCTTCCCCTCTCGACCTCTCCCTCTCTAAAAAATCGGAATCTTCCCGGCTCGGGCTGCCCGAACACGAGCAGCAGCAGCTGCTGCTGGCGCGGGCAGCCAAGCGAAAGAAAAGAATCGAGGAGACACAGAAAGGGCTTGTACCGACAGTGGTCGACAGGGGTTTGGTGAGACAGCAATGCGGTGTTGCTGGGAGTGAGAGAGAAGATGCAGCAACAGGAGGAGGGACAGGAGGCGAGGGGGATGGTGTTGCTGGGAGTGAGGGAGAAGGGAGGGATGGGGCAGGTGGTGCAGGGGCGGAGGAGGGGGGTGGGGGGGCAGGAGGGGTGAATGCGAATGCAGATGCATATTTGTATGGGTATGATTCGGAGGAGGAGGAGGGAGAGGAGAGGAAACCAGAGTGGAAGCGGCTGGGGTATGTGAAGGACAGGGCCAAGTTCAAACGGAAACGAGTGAAGGTGAGAATGTGGGTGCGAATGCGTGTGCGAATGCGTGTGCACATGGGTATGTTTCAGAGGAGGAGGGGGGGGAGAGGAAGCTGGAGTGGAAGTGGCTGGGGTCTGTGAAAGACAGAGCCAAGTTCAGATGGAAGCGAGTGAAGGTGAGGTAGTGGGTCCGACCGGGAACAAGTGAAGGTGAGAGTGCGAGTGTGATTATGTATGCACATGGCCATGGGTACGACTTGGAGGAGGAGGGAGAAGAGAGGAAGCGGCTGGGGTATGTGAAGGACAATGCGAAAGGTGAAAAGGAACGGAGTGAAAAGTGAGAGGGTGAATGAGAAACGAAGAGAGTGTGTGGGTGAAGGACGAAGAGTGTCTCTGAGTGAGAGACGAAGAGGGCGATGTGCATTTGTTTTAACCCGTACTTTTTTTAACACAGGTACATATGTAACTCATACCCCTTCACACCACAGGTACCCAACCTCTTTCACGCAGGAAGGCTTGTTCCGAGGCGCCTTATTCATGCTTTGATCCATGCCCTCTCTCGCCACAGGGATGCAACCCGCTGACTTGCAAGAAGGCCGCTTGTTGTGAAGCATCTCACATTTTGCATCCGTTTCTAAGCATCTTATCTTAAACCATACGTGTTCTAACCCACACACACCCTCTCACACCACAGGGACCCAATCCATTGTCGTGCAAGAAGAAGGCCCGGCCAACAGTGGGAGCAGGGAGTGACGGGAAGAGACAAGGGGCGGATGGAGAAGGAGCACGAAAGCGGCCGAGGAGACGGCGGAAGGGAGGCCAAGGGGCTGAGGGAGGTTCAAAGGGTGGAAATGGTGGTGGCTCTGAGTAGTTTATAACGATTGAAGATTTATGGTTGTGTGTTTATATTACGAACTACGCTTCTTAACTAATGGGTATTTCTCCTCTGGTGTTTCTACAGCGGAGTGATGGAAGGATTTCATGTTGTTGCAGTTGACTCACAATAGGTGCAGTTGAAGTGCTTGTAAAATGAAATTTCGTCATAGCGAATAGGATTTTATCGAATCCATCCACCTTTCTCGAGCCGCCCCGAAACCAACCCTCTCGCACCAATAATCGTGACCTTCACCACCTCTCTCTCCACTCAAATTCTGTTCTCTGCTTCATGAGCTCACTTGGTTGCTCCGTCACAATGCCTGGGTTTGCTCTCTTGCCCCGATCCATGATATCCGCCGCCAAGCGCTCATCCCGTTCTTCATTATCCCGTTTTTGGATCGTGATTTTCAGCGGGTTGTCGCTCGCTCCTCCTTTGGTCGAGTTTCGCGCTGGTCAGCAGTAATGGCACGAACTGCTTCAGGGCCCGGCGTTAGATCGAATCTACGCTATCTCGACACGCGAATCTCAGCATGATCATCATGCTGAGATAATCTGTTAGCATCACCACAGCACAGAATTTCCTCCTCATCCGCTGCTTTGTTACACGTATCGACTACTACTCTTGGTTGTAGGATAGCACGTCCATAGCTATTCCCAGAGGCTTCCGCCATTTTTGCCTTTTATTTTGTGAAGAGAACCAAAATTCGTCGCAGTTCTGCTGAACAAGGCTTCTCCAGCCCACTCGGAAAATGTCGGCGACGAGCGAAGCCGGAGTTACCGTGTGGGGCATGTCTCCCACGGTGAGGTCCGCAATCATCGTCAGCGTCGCAGCAGTCGTCGCAGTGATCGCTGTTTTCGTCATCGGATGTTTCGTCAACACCGTACGATCGAGGAGACTGCGCGCTGAATCCGCAGCCGCGGCGGCAGCAGCAGCAGCCGCGTCAGGCCATGCGATGGACGGAACAGTAGCGACGGCGAAAGCGAGAATGCAAGCCGAACCCGCGGGAGTGCCGTAGGAGGCTCCGGGAGTGGGGGGGGGGACTGTTTTATTTTTCAAATAAATGGTTCTCCAGTGGGCCAAAAATTTGCTTGCGCCGGATTCACCCGCATCGCCGCAAGCCTACTAAGTGCATCACCCCCATTCTTTTCACCATGAGACAAACACGACCTTTCGCGACGCAATGGTTTATGCCACACCAGTCCCGACAGTTTCAAAACGACATTATGCCCACCACCGCTAATCTGTATGGCATAGCCTTCGCGTGCACATTCCATTCTTACCGTATGTATGTTCATTGTATTTACTAAATTGACTGCTTGCATCTGGCCCCAACGTCGAACAAAAAGTCCTTTCCCTTTACTTTGCTGTGTAAAAAAAATAATTCAGCTTTTTGTTATGATCTTCTTGCCCTGTCGCCTAAGATTTTGAGGACCGTAGGAATAGAATCATGTGTACGTTAAAATTCTCTACGTAACGAGGGCGTTTGGTCGCCCTACAGAAGCCGCATGGTGGCGTACGGCCCATCGCCATTGGGGAAGTGTTACCACGCCTTCTTTCACGCTGCATTACTCTCCTCTTCAAGCAGCAGATGCGAGAAACGTTTCTTCCTCATCTTCAGTTTGGCGTAGCAGTTCCAGCCGGGATTGAGATCATGTCACACGCAGTTTGTTCCGCCTTCTCCCTTCATCCGGACTGGGTGGTGTTGCAGCTGGACGTTGCAAATGCATTCAATTCTTTCAACCGAGTTCCTATGTTTGAGGCATTAAGGCGCTCCCCATTCTCCACTCTCATTCCCTTCTTCCGCCTTTTCTACTCCACCCCTTCACCTCTCCACTACCGCAGCGGCCCCCTTCTCCACACATTCCAGTCAGCTTCTGGTGTTCGTCAAGGCGACCCTTGCGGCCCTTTCCTGTACGCTTTAACGCAGCAGCTAGCCATCCAACCAACCCAGCAGCAGTCTCCCTCTATTTTCATTACCTCATACGCGGACGATACCTACCTGGTCGGCCCTCCCTCGGACGTCTTTGCTGCATACACTGACCTTACTGCCCGCCTTCTCTCTCTCGGACTTACTGTTCAACCCTCTAAGTGCTCTCTATGGGCCCCTATGGACTTACCCGAACGCTGCATTCCACCCTCCGGCATTTCCATCGCTGCAAACGGTCTCACTGTCGCTGGCGTTCCTACCGGCTCAGACGGCTCTACAGTTCGCGACAAACTCGACTCTTTCACCTCCTCCCTCCCCTTACTTCATCAACTGCAGGACCCACAGATTGCCTCACGGATCCTTTCCTTATGCATCACTGCCCGACCTTCTTTCCTCCTCCGAACTGTCGCACCTTTCCCTGAAATCCAAGAGCTACTCTCCTCATGGGACAGCACCATTTTCATCCACTTCTCTCAGCTTCTGGGCTCCGAGTACTGGAACCCCAACTCCGAACAGTCCGCATCGGCCCGACTCCAAGCCGCGCTCCCTATCCGCTTGGGGGGCTTCAGCATCCGTAGCTCCGCCTCCATTGCCCCTCTCAGCTACCTCTGCAGCTGGGCGCAGTCAATTTCGACCCTATCCACCCACTTTATTGTTAAGTTGTAATGTGTTATTTATATGTAGGTAGGCTGTAGTGGGGTAGCCAATACAGGGTACAAACCCAACTAGGGTTAGCTACTTGTACCCAACTGTTTCTTTCAATGCACCCATTCTTGCCTAGTTCTGTTAACATGGTATTCAGAGCAGGAGGTCCCTAGGACCTACCGACCGTTTTTTTTTAAGGGCCCACCACCGCTCGCATGCGGTTACCACGCTACCCCGTGCCCTAGCCTCGTAGCGCCCTCGTGCGCCCTCGTTAGCGCCCTCGTGCGCCCTCGTTAGCGCCCTCGCGCGCCCTCGTTAGCGCCCTCGCGCGCCCTCGTTAGCGCCCTCGCGCGCCTCTCGTTAGCGCCCTCGCGCGCCCTCGCTAGCGCCCTCGCGCCCCCTTGTTAGCGCCCTCGTGCGCCTCTCGTTAGCGCCCTCGCGCGCCCCTCGCAGCGTCGCCCGCCCGCCGAGCCGCCCGCTCGCAGCGTCGCCCGCCTACCGCGCTGCCCGTTTCGCAGCCCGCCCGCCGCGCTGCCCGCTCGCAGCGTCGCCCGCCCGCCCGCTGCCCGCTTGCAGCGTCGCCCGCCCGCCCGCTGCCCGCTTCGCAGCGTCGCCCGCCCGCCGCGCTGCCCGCTCGCAGCGTCGCCCGCCCGCCTCGCTGCCCGCTTGCAGCGTCGCCCGCCCGCCCGCTGCCCGCTTCGCAGCCCGCCCGCCGCGCTGCCCGCTCGCAGCGTCGCCCGCCCGCCTCGCTGCCCGCTTGCAGCGTCGCCCGCCCGCCCGCTGCCCGCTTGCAGCGTCGCCCGCCCGCCCGCTGCCCGCTTCGCAGCCCGCCCGCCGCGCTGCCCGCTCGCCGCGTCGCCCGCCCGCCCCGCTGCCCGCTTCGCAGCCCGCCCGCCGCACTTCCCGCCTGCAGCACCGCGCTGCCCGCTTCGCAGCCCGCCCCCCGCACTGCCCGCTCGCCGCGTCGCCCGCCCGCCGCGCTTCCCGCCGAGCTACCTACCTGCAGCGCTGCGGCAGCTTCCTTTGCTCAGTCGCACTGTCGCTATGGCTTCCATCCGCGTGCTGTCGTTCGATGCTGAGGGCCGCCCTGTGAAGTTCGCCACTTGGCTGGATGACCTGCAGCTGTTCCTTCTGAGCGATAGCAAGGAGCATGTGTCGCTCTATGATTACGCGTCTGGTGCTGCACCTGCCCCTCCTGCCACAGCTGAGCTTAGTGTTCGTTCCCACTGGCAGACTCGTGACGCAGCTGCTCGCCTAGCCATTCGCAGTCACCTGCCGCTAGCTGAGCTCGAGCATTTTGGCGACTGCAAATCCGCTAAGGCCCTGTACGATGCTGTCGTTGCTCGCTACTCCTCGCCTGCCACAGCCGAGCTTAGCCGCCTCATGCTGCCGTACCTGTTCCCTGAGCTGTCCACCTTTGCTACAGTCGCCGATCTTATCACTCACCTTCGCACTAGTGATGCTCGCCTGCGTGCCGCCCTTCCCACCGAGTTCTGCGCTAAGAACCCCCCTCCACTGTACTGGACACTCCACTTCATAGTCACCCGTCTCCCTGACACCCTCAGCTCAGTTCGAGACCACTTCCTTGCTCGCTGTCCCACTGAGCTCACAGTCGCCCTCCTAGAGGAGCAGCTGCTAGCGGCCGAAAAGAGCATTGTAGCTGTCGGTGCTGCTCGTGGCGCTCCTCGCACCCCCATCTTTGAGGGGTGTTCTCCCTCTCCCCTCGCTCCCTCCTACGCTACTACTGCTGCTGTTGACTTCCTTGGTGCTGAGTCTGCTGGCGCTGCTTCTGCTCCTGGTGGGAGGCGCCGCACCGGCAAGGGCAAGGGGGGCAAGGGTGGCGGGGGTGGCGCTGGGGGGGGAGGAGGTGGGGGAGGTGGGGGGGGAGGCGGTGCTGGAGGGAGCGGTGGCGGGAGCGCTGGTGGGAGTGGGGTCGGCGGTGGAGGCGGGGGCGGCGGAGGAAGCAGTGGCAGTAGTGGCGGCGGCGGCGGTGGCGGCGGTGGCGGTGGTGGCGGTGGTGGCGGTGGTGGCGGTGGCGGTCGGAGCGGTGGTAGTGGTGGCGGCGGAGGTCGGAGTGGAGGCACTGGCTCGGGCCAGAGCTCCCAGCAGCAGCAGCGTCCCCAGACGACCCAACAGCTTCGTGAGTGGCTTGCTCAGCGTGGGACGTCGGGGGGCAGTGGCCGCTGTTCCTATGTCATTCGCACAGGTGACCGCAAGGGACAGACGTGTGGGAGGTTCCACACCCCGTACCGCTGCTTCTCCCGCCTTGACGACGCTTGGCGTGAGGAGATGGGCGAGGATGTTGAGCGCCCCCGCTGGGCTGAGCTGATGAGGGCTGGTGTTGATATCTTTGCTCTTGACTATGATGCTATTATTGCTGCCATGTATGCATTGACTGTTAGTGCCGAGGGAGACTGTTACT